TTTCACAAAATTTTAATTAATGCTGAGAGAGTTAAAAACATGCTAAGAGATGCGGGAGAAGATTCGGGTAACCGAGAAACAAGACGAGAAATCTCGGCAACGAAAAAGATTCGTTATGTCCTGGGCGCCTTGTTGGTTCTGTATCTACCGTACAACATTTTCTCCGCAATCTGGACGTATTACAAATTCCAGGAGAAGAAGAATCCCCCTTTAACCACAAACACACTAGAATATTGGTCTTATATAATTGTGTTTTTTAATGCTTCAGTAAATGCTATCCTATTCGCTTATGGCAACAGCGTTGTGAGAAGATTTTTAATTGGATGCATTTTCAGAAATCAAATTGCTCCAATGAGCGCAGTAAGCGACGTCACAAAGACCTCTAAAATTGCGAGCAAGGTCTAGTTGAAGCCATTCAAGGAGAGGTTGACGTCATCTGCTCTAAGATAGTCTCTTGTCCATGCAATGTAATTATTTTTTGGTGAGAGCAATAATCAATCGGTGCACATATGAACTTTTCACAAAAGCAGTGTGAAGGCTCCTACGCTGCATAAGGCATAGAGAGGTTTTACTGGCTGATCAATGGTAGCTATAAAAAATGGTTCAATTTTTCAGTCGTTGACAGGATTTTCTCCTTACACGGTGATGGAAAAATAATAGCAACAACGAAGAAAAGGAAACGGACAACAGATTCTAAATTTTTGTCGATTGCTGATCCTTGCCTTTTAATTTTTTCGAGTGTTGATAACGTCAAGAAACTTTATTTCACTCCACTCAGCTTCAGCACAGAATACATCACAAATTCATATAGACTGGAAGAAACAAAGGTTGATATTTTGCAATTTTTTGCATTAGTTTGGCAGTGTCATAGTGTTGTGCTAAGAATGATCGTCTATGATATGTATCTGTAAAACTTAATGTTATGTTCTGTTATATTGCTGTTTAAACGCTGCAAATAAACATAATTAAGCGTAGTTATGTTATGTTGTATAACAAGATTGTAAAATTAGATTAAGGGCCATCTTGGACTGAATATATCTCAAAAAGATGTTAGTGGTAAAAAGTTCAAGTGCTGCAAGGAGAGACATATAAGACTACGGTGTCCTAACATTTCCTAAACAGCCGCTGTTCGTAGTGCTTATTCATGAATGGAGTAAATCTTTGTGCTAACTCGTCGATCATGAAACATCTATATTAACGGACAGTAGCTAAACTTTAACATTTCAATAGCTCCCATGACATTCATGGTTTTTTCTTCGGGAATATAAATTGAGACCCTTGCAAGAGCACGTCGCTTATATTACGCTTCCGTTTACACCATATTTACATGTTGTTAAAAATTTACTTATTGGTCAGTTACAGCTCCCGACAATTTTTTTCGATCTTTATTGAGATTTCAGTATCCTTCTTGCCAAATACAAGAGATGGCATTTCTCCGCGTTCAATTCTATGCAGGTTTGTGCAAACCTATTTCTTTGTTCAACAGTATCATTTTCTAGCTTTAAAATAGATTCTCTCAAACTTTTTTTAGAATTCTCATTTTTATATCGTCTACATATTTACAAATTTCAGTCTCATACATCAAAAGGAAAATATCATTGGTAAATTAATAAAAAGAAGAGGCCCTATGACTGACCCTTGGGTGACACCTGATTTCACTTCTTTCCGCGAGCTTAATGAGCAATTGATTTTAACCCGTTGCTTTCTACACGCTAGATAACTGTAAACCATATTTAAAAAACATTTTGGTAGCTCACGAATTTTGGCTAGTATTGCCATTCCTTGACAGCCAAAAGGGGCGGGCAAAAGGGGGGGGTACCTATCTTGCTCTTGCAACAAAAGGGATATTTGGGGGCAATGTTCTTCCATGCTCCAAATACGATAGTATATGTTTAGAGACATCAGAAAAGTTTAATAACAGCTGGAATTTTCTAAAGTGATGTTGATGTTTCAAAGGGATGTAGATTTTCAAAAGTATTTGTGAAGTTTAAAGAGCAGGTTCTGATACATCTATCACAAAGAAAGCTACCAGATAAAATTGCTAGGCAGGATTGGCAGAATAACTCTGACAGAGCAAACTAGCCATACAGTTTATTGACATTTGCCCTGGAAAAGAATTCAGATAACTAGGGACCATCCAGGTAACTAGGGACAATTGAATCTTTATTCATGTCCATTGCGAAACTTAGCCTCTTAATCGTTTTCGCATACGAACAAAAATTGTATCCTTCCAATGATCTTCCATCTACACCAGCAGAAAACCTTCCAAGTTACTTTAGCAGTTACTTAACACGAGTACCTTTAATTGTATGTGGGAAATTGTAGACCTGTATATATGTATGAAAACCTAAGATTACCGATTGTAGCCTAAGTAATACTCGTTTTAAATTTAAAGATTACATAAATGCTGATAATTCTTTTAACCTTTCTTCAAAAAATGATCAATTTTCAATTTTTCAGCTTGAAGATTTTATTTTCCCGGCTGTTTTCCCATGATATTGACATGTAATGTTGACATTGATCAGCTTTTGGAGGCACAACTGGTGATTACATACATTTCATGCTAGTCTGACTAACTCTTAATAAAAACACCTTCACGTCACTCTCATGGCACAAAGTCCTATGTTATCTAACAGGCACAAAGTCCTATGTTATCCGTATTTAACTACTATTTTTCTTCCGTTTTATTTTCGAAACAGTTGTATCATTTTCCTTTGCTGAAAGATCTTTTTTTGGTGGAAATATATGCACTGTGGTGAAAATGTAGTTTTGTAGAAATTTCAGGTGTGCAAATATGCTTATAGATGGGTAATTTATAAAGCAAAGATATATTTTTATGGGTAACGAATATTTTAAGGTATGTAACAGCTACATGCATGTAAAGTCCTAGCATTATAATCTAGACACAAACGTTGATATTCTGCATTTTTCGGTCTGTTTATCACTGACATAGTGTTGTGGAAAGAAATATCGTCTATGGTACATATTTCTAAAAATTAATAAAGACTACTGCTTGTCAGATTGTAGTATAGTGTTTGATGTCGCATAGGCAGAGTTGTACACGCGTTGGTGTATTAAACAGAAGATTTTTGAATGCTTTGAAAAAAGCAAACATTTAGTAAACTAAAGCTTTTCGTCTGACACTCTTCAGAGTTTAAAACATCAGAACATAGACCGAAAACTCTACGCTAGGAAATATATATACCCAGTTGTGGATCGAAATAGGCCAATCAGAAACATGAGCACATGACTGTAGAAGATTTTTAAGTTGCAATTTCGAGTTTCTTCTTTATGCGATGCTCGTGCAACTGATTACCTGATTACCTGTACCATGCACGATACTACGCTATCAAATGCTGCTGTTTGTTTTAGTTGGTAATGTTTGGGAAAGGTACAGGAGCCTATAGCTAACAAGGCAAATAGAGAGAGGGATTTGGAAGATAGGACGGAATCATAAAGGTTGTTGATTTTATTTATGAGCAAAGACAGGTTGTAAAAGTCTTGGGAGCAGGAAGAGGGTTGGGCGTTCCAAAGTTTACAAGATCAAGGGAGGAAGGAAGAGTTGTGGGACAGAATACATGAGTTTGGCAAGAGACTTAAAAAGGGTGAGCACTGGGAAAATGTCTGGTATTGCATACATTTCTCAGGGGACCAGAGAGCAACGTCCGTGGTAAAATCTATAAAAAATTGAGAGATCAGCGACAGGGCGTTCATAGGAACGAGGCTGAAGAGACTGTTTGAAAAACATCAGAAGAGAAAGCATAGACTTAGGAGTGTGAAGCGGCTGGACAGTAAAACTTTTATATGGTTTTCTAGACAATGTTGTAGTTTGGATGGCAATAATGAAAATATAAGCTAACTTAAGTCTATACTTCGCTTGATTTACCATGAAAAGTCACAATTATTCGAAACGGTCCACTTCTGGAATTTTCATTTTCTCAAAGGGGACTAGGACCGTCATTAAAAAAGTTTTTCCAACAATCAACATTATTTCAAGAATAGTACAAAGTGGAAGAAATAGAGCTGAATGATAAATGAGCAGAATAAAGATAGAGACTTTGACTTCACGCTGATTGCTGTATATACAAGATGGTTCTTAGTTGCTTCTCCAACTACAATGAGAAGAAAGGAAAACCGTTCTATTTTATGCACCAAATATCATACACATTTATACACCTATACGGCATCAAGTACCTTTATGGCAGGCATGTAATTAGTAATTGTCATCAAATGTTCACCACGATGAAAGTATGGCAGAGTTCTGTGATTGCTAAAAGAATGATCTGATGCTGAATCAACTAGCTCTTAAAATACTTTATATGCCAAATGTTTGTGTGATTCTTCTAAAGACAAAAAATATTTTGACAGCAATAATTTCAGACGCTTCTACCGTCTAAAACGTTTCGATGCAACTGTTTTGCATGTCAGTTTTGTAATGGTCTGTTAGAGTACAAACGTTTTAGAATACATTTGTTATCAAATTTTGCTCAGTGAGCGCTTTGCGTTTCAAAAGAAACTAAAACTTTCTTCACAATACAACAGGCTGCTGTTTACACTGAATGATATAGATTTATACTGAACATAGATAAAGAAATAAATAGGTTCTTATCCATAAAAATCTTGAATAAATAAAAGAACAGGATTCTACTGTCAAAATTGCACATTTGATTCCGTTAAAAAGATCACCTGTCCAATGAATATTTCGGAATGATTCTCTAATTCCTCACCTGTTCGAAATTATTCTTAAAGTTAAAAGGTCCGTACACATTTTATTAAAAAAGACATACACATCTTCAATTTATCGAGTTGATATTTTCTCACTAGCAGATGTTCATGGCCGACTTTGAAATGGCACAAGCATCTTATTAAAAACGAAAATGCTCTGTATGATGCATTTGTAAAGAAAGCGCTTATAACACGACACCACAGAGCAGTTAAGCGAAAAAAACCGGTGCAACGTGTTTAGCTCTAAAGACACAGGACAAAAGAGAACTACGCAATGATGAACCACTCATCTTCAGAAGAAAATTACTATTGCCCGTCATTATGGCCACTGGACACGCCATGGCCTCATTTGATCGCTTGGTCGTTTTTTACCGCCCTGTTGTCACCAATCACCATCATCTCGAACACAGCTCTAATTTATGGACTGTACAAAATGAAGCAGCTTAACACGATCACAAACAAATTCATTCTCGTGATGAATATATCAGATCTTGGAACTGGTATATTCATCCTACCATCCCTTGCTGCAATGGCAGCATTGAAAGACAAGTATCGCAACTGTGCCTTTGAACTGGTTCTTCATTTTGGCGCCTTTCTTCTCGCTTATTTCTCCTTTTTCATGTTGATGTGCGTATCTATGGATCGTTATCTTCACGTGACGAAGCTCAATAACTACAATGCGTTCATGAACGAGTTTCGCATGAAGGTTATCGTTGGGTTTAGCATCGTAACATCGGCAGTAATCGCCTACATAGCGATGGCGTTTCCATCTTTCCCGCTGCAAGTCGTGTTGAATTTATCCAATCTTACTTTCATTCTATTTGTGTTCATCTGGTATTCGAAAATGCTTCGCAAAATTGCAATAAATGTTGAGAGAATTAAGAGAATGCTGAGAGATGCTGGAGAAAATCTTGGTTACCGAGAAGCAGGACGTGAAATCTCGGCAACGAGAACAATCCGTTTTGTCTTAGGTGCTTTGTTGGTTCTGTATCTACCGTACAACATTAGCTCCGCAATTTGGACGTATTACAAATACCAGGAGAAGAGGAATCCCCCATTAATCATGAATGTGATAGAATATTGGACCTACGTTTTCCTGCCAAGTAATGCAACAATAAACGCTATCCTTTTCGCATATGGTAACAGCATTGTGAGAAGATTCTTGATTGGCAAATTCTTCCGAAGTCGTGTTGTCCCGAACAGAACATCACCTGCTTTTCCATAGCAGATCGAAATTGAAGAAGACGTAAATAAAGTGGAAGGTTAGCCAATGCAACATCTATTCCAACAAATCCCAGCACTGTTTGTCGTCCTGTAGGCATTTTTAGAAATTACTGGACGATTTACCAACAAAACCTTTGGCCTTGACTTCATTCACTTAAGATGCTGGTCGACGAAAAACGGCATCAGTTTTTTCAAGTCTGTGCCAAATTTAGATGCACACCCACAAAAAACTGCTTATTATTAAAAATAGCTGCAAAATTAAAGCTAATTCAACCTACTACAAACTAAAATTGTTCAAAAATGAAAAGAAATAAAGTTAATGCTTAAGTTATTGGTTAGGTTAAGTGAAATAAAGTGAAGTTATTGGAAAGAGGTCGAATCGTGGAGGTGGCTATGATCTGGAGATTCGAGTAATTCACCACTTTCATAGACAAGAAAAGTAAGTAAACTGGGCTGTAATGAAGCTCGAAACTGTAAAAAGCCAACTAGATTGTCCAGTGTCAAAGTGTTTGAAATAAATATTTGAACAAATATTCATTCGTCTTAGTTTTTTGTTCGCTGGTTACTAACCTTTTTTGTACTGTCTGCTAATTGGAATGAAAAAAACAAATTTTACAATTTTGTGCAAAAAATATATTCTGTTTTTTAGAGTGTCCGCTTATTCAGTGTCCGTTTTTAAGAAGGTTTTTCATGAGAATTTGACCCAAAAACAATCGGAGAAAAAAATTTGACCGCTAATTACAGATGTCCGCCGTTTAGAGTGTTCGTTAATTGGAGAGAATACTGTTTGTACGTAAAACTAAGATAATAAGTCGCCTCCAATGATACGTGATTATCGATTGTAGCCTAAGTAATTCTCATTATGAATTTATTCATAGCCAAAATGTTGATATTACTTTTACGCTTTCCTTAGTAATTGATCAAGCTTTGATTTTTCACCTTTAAGATATCAATTTTCGACAAAGTCTCATTCATGTTTCATGTTTCACTTATGGACATGTATTGTTGAAATTGATCAGCGTAAAAAGGTACCAGCTGAAAAGGGTATAACTCATGATCACAAACATTTAACACCAGTATGAATAACACTTAGTAAAGTATCGTCGTTTCTATCTCAAAACACAAAACCTTAAGTTTTGCTATTTAACTCGTAACCTTTTCAGCATTGAAATCCTACCTCCATCCAACCCTCATTTCGAAAAAGTCTTATCTTGTTCCTTCATTTTATTGTAGAAGATTGATAACAAGAGTTGAATCTGTTGCGAAAACCTCTTTATTAGAAAAGAAATAAATAGAATGTTAAAGTGATGATGTCACAAAAGTGTATTTATAGAATTTTAAAACACTGAACCGTTATCCTGAAAGATCCACAAATTACCTTCAAGTATGCCGAATCAGATGCAAATGCAATAGACTTTGCATATTTAGAGGTAATTCATGGTGCTCTTTCAGGCTATGGAATCAGAATTCTTAATCCTAAAGTAGATTTTTGATGACGTCACAACGTTTTTCATAAATAAAGTCGCTTATGAACTAAGTTAAATTCTTCTATAAAATCACCATATAATCATCCAATGAAGTGCTACATAATTGACATTACGTATTCCATAATGTCATGTTGCAATTTCAGACCGTTCAAAGCAGGTCCTGAAATGGACAGTGGGTAATATTGAAGCAATGCCTGACGGGTAATAGTTGAATAGAGCGGACGATTAGTAGTTGAAAACAGCGATGAGGAACAAAAACTCTAAATTTAAAAAAAATGAATCCTTTCCTTTTTCCTACCACTTTTTGTGTCTTAATCACAATAGTCACCAACAATAAAATCGATTGTGCAAAAAGTTTTGAAGTTATCCTCGCATAGTTCAATGAATCGCAGTACCAATCCTAACCATTCACTTGAAGTTAAAATTTGTCTTTTGATGTTCAATCCACAGTTGCTTTTAATTAAAACACAACCGGTCCTCTTCTATTTACAATTACATTTCGTTTGTCATATCAGCGACGAGCAAAAAGGCATTTCGCATCCTTTTGGTTAGCACCATTAATAAGCAAAGTTTGCTGTTGATCCTCAGTTCATTCGAATTGCCAACAGCTAAATTCACTTAATTTGAATAACAACAGTAATGCTGCATTGAAAAACATAACAATCTGCCAAATTCAGATTCGAAGTTAATCTCCTAGCAGATGTTCATTAACATCTTATGTTCTACATGGTAGTGGTGCCATTCTCGAAATGATTAGTAGCGACTTTGCTTTGCCATGTACGCTGCGAAAGATAGTGCTTTTGATAGAACAACACTGCACAGCTGCGCGAAAAGCTGACACTGCCAGGTATTGCTGTTATCAAATTTTGACGTTTGACTTTAAAGAACTCAGCTATTCAAGAAAAAAGCAGTAATGAACCATTCATCCTCAAAAGAAACTTACTATTGCCCGTCAATATGGCCACTGGACATGCCATGGCCTCATTTGATCACTTGGTCGTTTTTTACCGCCCTTTTGTCACCAATCACCATCATCTCGAACGCAGCTCTAATTTACGGACTGTACAAAATGAGGCAGCTTAACACGATCACAAACAAGCTAATTCTTGTTTTAAATATATCAGACCTTGGAACTGGAATATTCATCCTGCCATCCATAGCTGTAATGGCAGCTTTGAAAGTCAAGTACCGCAACTATGTCTTTGAACTGGTTCTTCAATATAGCACCTTTCTTCTGGCTTATTTCTCCTTTTTCATGTTGATATGCGTTTCTTTGGATCGTTATCTTCATGTGACGAAGCTCAAAAAGTACAATGCATTCATGAACGAATTTCGCATGAAGGTGATCGTTGTGTTTAACTTCGTAATGTCGGCAGTAATTGCCTACATATCGATGGCGTTTCCTTCTTTCCCACTGCAAATCGTCTTGAATTTATCCAATCTTATTTGCATTCTATTTGTGTTCATCCTGTATTCGATAGTGCTTCGCAGAATTGCAACTAATGCTGAGCGAATGAAGAAAATGCTGAGAGATGCCGAAGAAGATGCCAGCAGTCGAGGAACAAGGAGAGAAATCTCGGCAACGAAAACGATTCGTTATGTCCTGGGCGCCTTGTTGGTTCTTTGTCTACCGTACAACATATGCTCCGCAATCTGGACGTTTTACAAATATCAGGAGAAGAGGAATCCTCCATTAATCATTAACCTTCTAGAATATTGGTCTTATGTCATCTTGTTATGTAATGCAGCAATAAACGCTCTCCTTTTCGCATATGGTAACAGCGTTCTGAGAAGATTCTTGATTGAACGCATTACCAGAAGTCAAGTTGCTCCAAGCAGCCCGTGAGTGACGTCAAAAAACACGAGGTCTAGTTGAAGGTATTCAAGGAGAGGTTGATGTCACTGGCTTTAAAGCTAGTCTCTTGTCCATGCAGTGTGAACACTTTTTTATTACAACAATACTCAAACAGCCTTAAATTGAATTTCCCCTTCAATCTTGTCCGTCTTGAACCAGGTTTTCTCTTTAAAACTTTTAGGAACAAATAGATATTGAAGGAACAATGGACAACAGAAAACAAATTCTTGATGCAAGTTGATTGCTGACCCATGCTTCTTGACTTTTTCACATCATTCAAGAAAAACTGTCTAGTTGCAATCGACTTCCATCTGCAAAATGGAAATCTCCACGAGTTATTTAGCGGATAGCCTTTACTAAATTTTATATAGACTTAACATTACTGATTGTAGCCTATATAACATCTAACATAAAGCCGTAAAGTTTGCATTGTGCATTTTTAGATAGTCCAAATGTTGATAATTTTTCACACCTTCTTCGATAAAGATATTGCTTTCCCGTCTCTCTTATTGTTTGACATGTATTGTTGACTTGATCAGCGTATAAAGGCAGAACTGGTGATTCCAAACATTTAAAACCAGTCTGATTAACTTTTGATAAAAAGATTGTCAAGTTTCTCTCAAAGCACAAAATTATGCAGCGACTTTCTCCACTGGCCGCAGATATGGAGGTGACCGTCACAGAGACAACTGTTGCACAGTGGTGACCGTTGCACACATGTGACCGTTGCACACAGGTGACCGTTGCACACGGGTGACCGTAGTAACAGAAGTGACAGTTGCACAGAGGTGAATGTTGCACACATGTGACCGTTGCACACAGGTGACCGTTGCACAGTGGTGACCGTTGCACACAGGTGACTGTTGCACAGTGGTGACCGTTGCACAGAGGTGACCATTGCACAGAGGTGACCGTTGCACACAGGTGACCGTTGCACACAGGTGACCGTTGCACACAGGTGACCGTTGCACACAGGTGACCGTTGCACACAGGTGACCGTTGCACACGGGTGACCGTTGCACAGAGGTGACTGTTGCACAGAGGTGACTGTTGCACACATGTGACCGTTGCACACATGTGACCGTTGCACAGTGATGACCGTTACACAGAGGTGACCGTTGCAAAAGAGGTGACCGTTGCACAGAGGTGACTGTTGCACAAAGGTGACTGCTGCACAGAGGTGACCGTAACACTGAGGTGACCGTTGCACAGAGGTGACCGTTGGACACAGGTGACCGTTGCACACAGGTGACCGTTGCACACAGGTGACCGTTGCACACGGGTGACCGTAGTAACAGAAGTGACAGTTGCACAGAGGTGAATGTTGCAAAAGAGGTGACTGTAACACTGAGGTGGCCATTGCACAGATATGACTTTTATTAGTGGTTTCATTTTACAATATTTGGTCATTTGTTGGCTTTCCTTAAAGGCTCTTGCGCAAACGGCATGCTTAGCGGCAGCTGTCTTTAGAAATTGATTGTGTTTTTTAATTTTCATGCAGTACGACATTAGGCTGCTTTTGATAGTGTAGTCGCAAAGCATGCCGGTTGCACCAGAGCCTTTAAGTCGATTCAGATATTACCATTCTGGACAATCAGAGAGTGGGCAAAATTTGGAGTGTCCGTTTTCCGCGGTATCGTGAAAGAACGTTGTAGTTTTCTTTTAAATGCGAAACACGGGTTGAGAGGAAATGGGAATCAGAAGAATCTTAAAGCTTTCAGCCTATTTGGCAAAAATGTTCTTGAAAGAGCCGATGAAAGTTTTATGCCCTTTTGTCTCCTTCTTTAGCAGATTTGATATAAAATCGTGAGTAAAAAATTCGGCTGAATGACCGTAAATATAGATTTATTCATACAATTCTGTAATTGGGAATTAATAGTTTTAAGAAACATTACAAAAAAGTCATACAAAAAACAAAATAAATCCTTGAATAACCTTTGCTCCTTCGTATTGCAAAAGTGGTTAGTAGCTCAACTGTGACATTTCAAAAGCTCTGATGACATTTATCTTTGATTGCATATTTGATGACATTCTAAGAAAAAAAGATTTCATTTTCTAGCTTTAAACAAATTCCCGCTCCCGCAACTCTTGATGTGAATAAAAAAATTGCTGCATCGTTTCCATATTATAAATTTCAGCTTGTCTCAACAAACGGAAAATATCATTGAAAGGTATGCTAAAAAGGAGAGGTCCTAAGATTGATCCTTGGGCGACATCTAATTTCATTTCTTTCCAAAAGGCTGAATGAGCGGTCAATTGATTTTGACTCACTGCTTTCTACCCGCTAGATAACGGTACACCAATTGTAAGACATTTTTGATAAAGCCGTAAATTTGGAAAGCAAGAGTTCATTGTTGAGACAGTTTCAAGCGTTGGACAAGTCCACAAGAACTAGCCTGAGAAAACCTTTATTCTTTAACGTTCTCTTACAATTTTCCACGATTGTCTCTCATATCAAATCTAGACAAACCATTCTCAACTCTATAACCCTGACGACAGGCGCAAAGGCTAGGCCAGAGAAACTCCTTAACAAAAGGTAGCATTTGTCATTAACAAAGGTTTAACCATAGAATAAAGATCTCTGTTCTGTGATTTAACTAAGCCTAATGTGGGCTAAGCTTGTTGGTCCCAGAGCAATCAAAGCTACGTAACGGACACTGTAAACTTACTATGACCAAGTTTTGACACTGCTATACACCTGTTCCGTCTCTCATCAATAAATTGTTATAGGAAACGTCTGAAACAACTTCCATTATGCTCTTTGAGCATCTACTTTCTTCAAACCCCAAAGTCAGTGATAAACAGACCGAAAAATGCAGAAAAACAACGTTTGTAATTTTCAGTCTAGATGATTATGCTAGGACTTTACTTGGATACGTACACATATATATGTTATATATTTTAGAATAATTGTTATCAATTAAAAATATATTTTTGCTTCATGATTATCCATCTATAAGCGTATTTGCACACATTATATTTCTACAAATCTGATAGTGTTCATATTGTTCATTTTGACCATACTGCTCATATTTATCAAAATGATGTCAAGAAGCGAGATACCTGGAGTTGCAACTAACAACAATCTTGTCCTATGCACAATAGCGCGTACAGCTCGGCCTACATGACATCAGTCCTTCTGTGACTGGCCGGTAAACAGTAATTTTCATAAATGTCGCAGTTATGTTTCAAAGACGATATATCCACATCAAGAAATAGCTAAACACAATGGTCTCGAGATATAACAAATCAAAATATCGCTTATATCATGAAGACTATATGATGATATTAATACTTTAACGACATATCTACCAATACTTTCAGCATATTATTTACTTATTAACTTATCACTTATTTTCCTGACGATTACCAAACTACAAGTATGTTTGGACACCTGGCATTTCTAAAAAACTAGATATTCATTATTGTGCAATATGAATATAATTCTTTCTAAACTGAAGCAAAGGAAACATTGACAAACTTTTTCGAAATTCGTACAGGAGAGGTGTAGTGGTTAAATACCGAAACAAATTTTGCCTGACTACAAGTACGTTTGGACAACTGGCATTTCTAAAACACTAGATTTTCATCATTGTGCAATATCATCACTAAATATGATTCTTTATAAATGTTAATTCTAATTTAAATCTAAATATAATTTCTTTGATTAATTAAGGGTATCATCAAACTCACTTGAGATGGAAGGCTACTGTATCTGGACCAAACGGGCCTCTTCAAAAGCGATCCAAAATGGGTATGGATAGTAGATCCAAATGGGTTCGGATTGGCCAAGTCCCGTGTAAACGCAAAACGCATCATTACCACTTTGGGATCGGATCCAAACGGAACCATCTTCAACAGCGTTCCCTACCGGATCCGCCAGGTCCCGTGTTAACGCAGAGCCAATACGTATTATTTTGGGTTCGGATCCGATCTCGTGTAAACAGGCCCTTAGGCTTCAATCGGTAATCATAAATCGTGTTAAGAAAAAATAGTCTTATGTTTGTCTAAATACAATTAAGTTACGGTTATCTGTTAAAGTAACTTGCAAAAATTTCCATGGAAGTCGATTATAACTAGACAGTTTTTCATGAAGCATGAAAAAAAATTTGAGAACCATAGGTCAGCAATCAATTTGGATCAAGAATTTGTTGTCTGTTTTTCATTCTCCATTCAAAAATTATTTGTCCTTGACGGTTTAAAGACAAAATCTGGTCCAAGACAGGAAATATTAAACCGTATAGCTACGACTGATCGGCCAAAAAGAGCTCTTCAAACCGGATGCCAGTTAGCAGCATTAACGCTTCTTTTGGTGGAAATAAACTTTTAAACAGTTTGAGTATTATTCTCAATAAAAATCATTAACATTGCATGGACAAGAAAATAGCTTCAAAGCCACTGACGTCAACCCTTCCTTGAATGCCTTCAATAATAACACCCCCGTCTAAGAGCCCCCATTAAGGTCAGATTTTTCCGGGGGTGGTGTTCACTTTTTTGCGGGGAAAACCGTGGTCACATTTTAAACCGGAGAGCCCTAAATTTGACCCGAGGTCACAGGACAGTATCATTTCAAATGGGAGCATAAAACAACATAAACGTGGCATGTGCAATTTGCCTGCATCAAAACTTCCTTTAGCTGGGCGACTGCATATTGGCATTGACACTGACTGCACATTATACAATTCACGACTATTCAAACATTGATAAACAGCGAATAGAAAGTTTCAAAAAGTAGCAAACAAATTTTTCTGGATCTTTCATCTAAAAAAGTGCATGGACAAAAGATGGGAACTTGCATTCACCCCTTGCGAGCTTTTTGCTGCGAAATTTAGTTTAGTTCAGTCTGCAAAAGCCCTAGCTCTTTCTTCAATCCTCAATAGAAGTTTCGCAATTTGCTATACCATGCCTAATTGTTATTAATAAATGCAGAATTCAGACAGGATCTCGGTTTTTGCAATTTTGAAAAACCTCCGTGTAAGATATGAAAAAAATACACAATAAGGTACCTAGAACACATTTAGCACAACATTTTGATGTGTCGTTTTCGAACTTTGCGCATTTTGGGGTCAAACTTCGGCAAAGTGAAAATCTTTGGTACGCTTGAGTACAGCAATACAAAAAGATTCGCCTTAGCAGTACTTTTATATTTCACAAGTTTTATGGATAAGTTTTAAAAAAATAGAGTTTCTTATTTTTTTGCAAAGCAAAGATAAAAACATTACGGCGATGCGTGCCAAAATTCAGGGCGGGCAGCCTACCAAATGTCCAACTCGCATTTGCCCTTTTTTCGTAAGGATGGAAATTTTGCCAATAAAATGATAACCGATTAACGGTTCTACTAACCCCAAAGATCTGATATGGAATATCGGGACAAGCACTTGAATGTAGTTACCCGAGGCGGCACCATGATTGCCGCCGAAGGAAAGGAAATTTTGAAATTTTGATAATTCTCGTTCGCTGGAAAATGCACTGTCTTAAGCAATTTTAACTAAAGCAATTCTCATAATCGTACTGAAATATCATTTACTTTTGCGAACAGATTGTGCAGCAGTTAAAAACACTGTAGAAAACAAAGTAATAACAAGAAATCTTGAAATTATTGACTTTTGTAGAAAATTCTGTTTAAGATAAGGTGCCAGAATAGAAAAAAATGCTGAAAACAAACACGTGTGACTAATAGGTTCCTCCAATATGCGTTTGTTCTTTCTTTCTCTTTGATCATTGCGTCTGACATTCTAAAGGAAAATTCTCTGCAGACTTACAGTCAAATAATTTGCTATCAGTTGGATTGCGGGGAACCTTTCAAACACTTTAGGTACCGGGCTTTGCAAAACCTATGACCGAGGAATTTGATTGAGGCGATCTAAACCGGGGACAATTATTTTGTCGCCGGGGCAGAATATCCTGGGGCACTTAAACAGGGGTGTACTATACCTTGCTTGCGATTTCAGGAGGTCTTGTGACGTCACTCACGACGCTGCTGGGAGCAACTTGACTCCTGCTAATGCGTCCAATTAAGAATCTCCTCACAACGCTGTTACCATATCCGAATAGGATAGCATTTATTGCTGCATTACTAAACACGATAACATAAGCCCAATACTCTAGGACATTCATGATTAATGGGGGATTCCTTTTCTCCTGGTATTTGTAATACGCCCAAATTGCGGAGCAAATGTTGTACGGTAGATACAGAACCAACAAAGCACCCAGGACAAAACGAATCGTTTTCGTTGCCGAGATTTCTCGTCTTGTTTCTCGGTTACCCGAATCTTCTCCGGCATCACTCAGCATTCTCTTAATTTTCTCAGCATGAGTGGCAATTCTGCGAAACACCATCGAATACAATATGAACATAAACAGAACTCCAAAAAGATCGGATAAATTCAACGCGACTTGCAGCGGGAAAGAAGGAAACGCGATCGATATGTAGGCGATTATTGCCGATGTTACGAAGCTAAACACAACGATCACCTTCATGCGAAATTCGTTCATGAACTTATTGTACTTTTTGAGCTTCGTCACGTGAAGATAACGATCCATAGATACGCACATCAACATGAAAAAGGAGAAATAAGCGAGAAGAAAGGCGCCATAATGAAGAACCAGTTCAAAGGCACAGTTTCGGTACTTCTCCTTCAAAGCTGCCATTACAGCTATGGATGGCAGGACAAATATTCCAGTTCCAAGATCTGATATATTCATCACGAGAATGAATTTGTTTGTGATCGTGTTTAGCTGCTCCATTTTGTAAAGTCCGTAAATTAGTGCCGCGTTCGAGACAATGGTGATTGGTGACAAAAGGGCGGTAAAAAATGACCAAGTGATCAAATGGGGCGACGGCATGTCTAATGGCCATATTGATGGGCAATAGTAGATTTCTTCTGGATGTGAATGATTTATCATCGCGAAAATCTCTAATGTCTTGCGTTCTGTAGAGGTAAACGCGTTGTGCCAGTTTTTCGGCCGACTGTCCTCTTCTGTTGTGTAATAAGCACTTTCTGTCGAAATGCACCAGACAGATATAGAGGATACCGTTATAGATAGTACTACTTGGAAATAAGATACTAACACCCTGTAAAGTATAAGGCGGTAATAAACATCTCCTCGCGATAAAATGTCAACTCGATATATTGAGGATGCGTAGGTTTTTCCGTAACAAGTTGCGTACGGACCTTGTCTGAACAAGTGAAGAAATAGTGAAAAGCTTCATTAGAGCGGTGAGCTATTTAAACAAATCAAATATGCCCTCTTGGAGGTAGAATCTTGTTTGTTTATCTATTCAAGCTTTTTATAGATAAGAATCTATTCATTTCTGAATCTATGTTCAGTATAAATCTGTAACATTTAGTTTGAACAGCTGACTGTGGTATCAGGAAGAAAAGTCCTAGCTTTCTTTGAAATGCATAGTGCGCACTGAGCCAAATCGGATATCAAATGTATCCTAAAGCCTCCAGCTTTCCCCAATAGAAAATTCTCTTGAAATAGCCAATCATAGTTTACTGTTATATGAAATATTTGATTTTGATAAAACGCTCACCGGTCCAATCAACGCTTCAAAATTATTCTATAATTCTTCACTTGTTTGAAATTTTTCATTAACTTGCATGATCCGTACACAACTTTTTAAGGAAGCGGCCCACATAGTCAAAAGTACCCCTAATCCATTTTTGTTTCAATAATTGCAGTTTGTTTAAGGTAAAAAGCGGAGATCTCAGAGAAAATAACCAAAGGATCGGTGGAAAAACAATGTGATGTATGGAAGGGAAAATGACGATTCTAAGGGTGGTGGGGATATACAACATGAAAATCATTATAAAGAGCACGTAGAAAATAGGGTTTGGAGGTTGTTTCATGAAGCCGAACAAAATAAATAATAAGAATTGATGACAGGCAGAAAAAAAGAATGTAACAAAAGAATACAGTGAATGCCGGCAAGGGAACGAGGCTTCAAGAATTCTTCACTCTAGAAGGAGGCTCTGTAAAAATCTTCGCCTTAGAAATTTATTTAGGATTAGTTAACCATAAAGCACCAGAACGCTAAGTTTCTGAAATCTTTAGAACAAATATAACAAAAAAGAAACTAAGAAAGACCGAAAATGTATCACTATACTCTGTGGCAGATACAAGTAATATTTCCACCAAAAATAACGCGAAGAAAATAAAATTTTCGAGTAAAAATAAAACGCTCTCCTCGAGCAGACACACATGATGGAATTCATAAAGGTCCACTTATCAACGCAAAAGGTTGACAAATGCATAATATGACATTCTTCTATAAAATCAATATAGAAATATACGTCGAGTGGCGCTGTATTGGCAATGCGTATTCCAATATGTTGTGCTGCACTTTCAGATAGTCTAGAAGCAGGTACCGAAATGGACAGTGGGTAATATTGAAGCAATGCCTGACGGGTAATATTTGAATAGAGCGGACGATTAGTAGTTGAAAACAGCGATTAGGAACAAAAACTCTAAATTGAAAAAAAATGAATCCTTTCCTTTTTCCTACCACTTTTTGTGTCTTAATCACAATAGTCACCAACAATAAAATCGATTGTACACAAAGTTTTGAAGTTATCCTTGCATAGTTCAATGAATCGCAGTACCAATCCTAACCATTCACTTGAAGTTAGAGTTTGCCTTTTGATGTTCAATCCACAGTTGCTTTTAATTAAAACACAACCGGTCCTCTTCTATTTACAATTACATTTAGTTTGTCATATCAGCGACAAGCAAAAAGGCATTTCGCATCCTTTTGGTTAGCACCATTAATAAGCAAAGTTTGCTGTTGATCCTAACTTCATTCGAATTGCCAACGGATAAATTCACCTAATTTAAATAACAACAGTAATGCTGCATTGAAATACATAAACATCAGCAAAATTCAGATTGGAAGTAAATCCGCTAGCAGATGTTCATTGCCGCCTCTGCTCTACATGGTAGTGGTGCCTCGTTTTCTGGTGGATTCTCGAAATGATGAGTAGCGACTTTGCTTTGCCATGTACAGTTCGAAAGATAGTGCTCATCATAGAACAACACAGCTCAGCTGCGCAAAAAACTGACACTGCAAGGTATTGCTATTCGTAATATTTGGCGTTTCAATTTAAAGAACTTTAATTAGTAGTAATGAATCATTCATGTCCAGAAGAAACTTTCTATTGTCCGTCATTATGGCCATTAGACATGCCGTCGCCCCATTTGATCACTTCGTCATTTTTTGCCGCCCTTTTGTCACCAATCATCATCATCTCAAATGCAGCACTAATTTACGGACTGTACAAAATGGAGCAGCTTAACACGATGACAAACAAATTCATTCTCCTGATGAATATATCAGATCTTGGCATTGGAATATTCATCATGCCATCCATTACTGCAATGATGATTTTAAAAGACAAGTACCGCAACTGTGTTGTTGAACTGGTTCTTCAATATTGCACCTTTCATCTTGCATATTTCTCCTTTTTCATGTTGATATGCGTTTCTTTGGATCGTTATCTTCACGTGACGAAACTCAAAAACTACACTGCGTTCATGAACGAGTTCCGCATGAAGTTGATCGTTGTGTTTAGCTTCGTAACGTCGGCTGTAATCGCCTACATATCGATCGCGTTTCCTTCTTTTCCGCTGCAAGTCGTGTTGAATTTATCCAATCTGTTTGGTGTTCTGTTTATGTTCATCTTGTATTCGATGGTGTTTCGTAGAATTGCCACTCATGCGGAGAAAATTAAGAAAATGCTGAGAGATGCCGGAGAAGATTCGGGTAACCGAGAAACAAGACGAGAAATCTCGGCAACGAAAACAATTCGTTTTGTCCTGGGTGCTTTGTTGGTACTGTATCTACCGTACAACATTTCCTCCGCAATCTGGACGTATTACAAATTCCAGGAGTACAGAAATCCCCCATTAACCATAAACGCGCTAGAATATTGGTCTTATATAATTGTATTTTTTAATGCTGCAATAAATGCTATTCTATTCGCATATGGCAACGGTGTCGTGAGAAGATTCTTGATTGCACGGATTACCAGGAGCCAAGTTGTTCCAAGCAGCGCCGTGAATAGAGTCACAGGACCTATTAAAATTGCAAGCAAGGTATAGTTGAAGACATAAAAGGATGTTGGTAGATTGGGGCTGGTGTGTTGCTCATGCAGAAGATTCTTGATTGCACGGATTACCAAGAGCCAAGTTGTTCCAAGCAGCGCCGTGAATAGAGTCACAAGACCTTTTAAAATTGCAAGCAAGGTATAGTTGAAGACATAAAAGGATGTTGGTAGATTGAGGCTGGTGTGTTGCTCATGCAGTTTTAGAAGGTTTTGTAAAGAACCTAGGTTGTATGTAGACAAACCTAAGATAATAATCTTATCATGAAGAATGTTCACTGATTGTAGCCTTAGTATTATCTTACAATAATGTCAATAAATGTGTTTTTAGATAACCTTAATGTTGACAACTCTTTAGGCCCCCTTCAATAATTGTTCAATTTTCGCATTTTCAATTTGAAGAAATCTTTTTCCCGTCTCCAGCATATAAAGTCACAACAAATGTTTAGACAAAACATTGAACATCAATTATATATGTTTTTAATAAAGAGATTGGCATGTCTCTCAAAGCGCAAAGTTAGGAATGTGGATCCATTATTCATGGGCATTTCGAAATTTAACCAGTTCTTTATCCTGTCCACATTTTGCAAAAGTGTGATAATGTTCATTTCGTTTCAGTTTAGAAAGAATCATATTCTATTGTAACCTTTAATGGTGAAAATCTAGTTCTATAGAAATCTCAGTTCTTCAAATGTAGATGGGTAACTATAAGGCAAAAATATATTGTTTATAGACAACCGTTACTACAATAGTATTTGTAGATATGTCAGTAAAGTCTTAATATAAACATATGGTCTTTAATATATAAGCGACGATATTTTCATTTGTTATGTCTCGAGACCATTGTGTTTAGCTATTTCTTGAACTGGATATATCGTCTTTAAAACATAACTGCGACATTTATGAAAATTACTGTTTACCGGCCAGTCATAGAAGGACTGATGTCATGTAGGCCGAGCTGTACGCGCTTTTGTGCACAGAACAAGATTGTTGTTAGTTGCAACTCTAGGTATCTCGCTTATTGACATCATTTTGATATATATGAGCACTGTGGTCAAAAATAACGATATGAATACTATCAGATTTGTAGAAATATAATGTGTGCAAATATGCTTATAGATGATAATCATAAGGCAAAAATAAATTGCTTATTCGTAACAATTATTCTAACATATGTAACAATCACATGTTTACGTATCCAAGTAAAGTCCTAGCATAATCATCTGGACTGGAAATTACAAACGTTGTTTTTCTGCATTTATCGGTCTGTTTATCATTGACTTGGTGTTGTGCTAAGAAATATCGTCAATGACACATATCTGTTAAAATTGTTGTACACGCTTTGGTGTATAGAACAGAAGATGCTTCAGTTGCAATTCCGAGTTTAATGCTTGATGTGATGATCATGCAACTGTTCTAGGCAAAGATGTACAGGTGATACGTTCCATATGTAACATGCTGGTACAGGAAATGTCATTACCAACTCCATATTTAATAGCCACTAGCCAAGCTGTAAAGGGATGTGGGAAGAACGATGAGTTGTGGGATATAGATTGTGAGTTTGGCAATGGGACATGGAAAGGGTAAGCACTGTCAAAATGCATCGCATTGCATACATCCGTGGTAAAGTCTATAAAAAAAAGAGAGAACAGCAACAGAACGTCGATAGAAAAGAGGATGAAGAGACTGTTTGTTCGGCTGGATAGTGAATCTTTTATATAGTTTACTGGACAATGTTGAAGTTTTGTCTGCAATCATTAAGGTATTAACTTACGTCTGTACTTCACTCGATTTGAAATAACAAGTCACAATTGTCCGAAGCGGTCCACTTTAGGAATTTCTGTTTTCTCAAGGGGACTAAGACCGTAATTAAAAAAGTTCTTCCAACCATCCCACGATTGCATCAACATTATTTCAAGAATACATTTGGTATTAAATTTTGCTCAGTGCGCACTTTTCATTTAAAAAAAAGAACTTTCCTTACGGATACCACGAGCAGCTGTTTAAGCAAAATGCTAAAAATTTATGCTGAACATAGATTCAGAAATAAATGGTTTCTTATCCATAAAAAGCTTAAATAAATAAATAAACAGGATTTTACTGTCAAGAGTGCATATTTGATTGTGTAAAAAAGCTCACCTGTTCAATGAACGTGTCGAAATGATTATCTAATTCCTCGCTTGCTCGAAATTATTCATTATTTAAAAGATTCGTACACGTAAGGTGTATTTCATAAAAGAAAGACATACAAATCATCAAATTATTGAGCTGATATCTTTTCACTTGCATGTGTTCATGACCGACTTTGAAACGGTACATACATTTTATCTACAACAAAAATGCTCTGTATGGTGCATTTCGAAAGATGGCGCTTATTACACAGCAACACGGCACAGTTTAGCGAAAGACTGGCACAACGCGTTTAGCTCTACAGAACGAAGGACGTAAAAGAGATACCCAATGATGAACAACTCATCTACAGAAAAAAGTACTTCTGCCCGTCATTAATGCCATTGGACATGCCATCGCCTCAATTGATGGCTGGTTCATTTTTCATCGCCCTTTTGTCACCAATCACCATCATCTCGAACACAGCTCTAATTTACGGACTGTACAAAATGGAGCAGCTTAAAACAATCACAAACAAATTCATTCTCCTGATGAATATATCAGATCTTGGCATTGGAATATTCATCATGCCATCCATTACTGCAATGATGATTTTAAAAGACAAGTACCGCAACTGTGTTGTTGAACTGGTTCTTCAATATTGCACCTTTCATCTTGCATATTTCTCCTTTTTCATGTTGATATGCGTTTCTTTGGATCGTTATCTTCACGTGACGAAACTCAAAAACTACACTGCGTTCATGAACGAGTTCCGCATGAAGTTGATCGTTGTGTTTAGCTTCGTAACGTCGGCTGTAATCGCCTACATATCGATCGCGTTTCCTTCTTTTCCGCTGCAAGTCGTGTTGAATTTATCCAATCTGTTTGGTGTTCTGTTTATGTTCATCTTGTATTCGATGGTGTTTCGCAGAATTGCCACTCATGCGGAGAAATTTAAGAGAATGCTGAGAGATGCCGGAGAAGATTCGGGTAACCGAGAAACAAGACGAGAAATCTCGGCAACGAAAACAATTCGTTTTGTCCTGGGTGCTTTGTTGGTACTGTATCTACCGTACAACATTTCCTCCGCAATCTGGACGTATTACAAATTCCAGGAGTACAGAAATCCCCCATTAACCATAAACGTACTAGAATATTGGTCTTATATAATTGTGTTTTTTAATGCTGCAATAAATGCTATTCTATTCGCATATGGCAACAGCGTTGTGAGAAGATTCTTGATTGCACGGATTACCAAGAGCCAAGTTGTTCCAAGCAGCGCCGTGAATAGAGTCACAAGACCTTCTAAAATTACAAGCAAGGTATAGTTGAAGACATAAAAGGATGTTGGTAGATTGAGGCTGGTGTGTTGCTCATGCAGAAGATTCTTGATTGCGGGGGATTACCAGGAGCCAAGTTGTTCCAAGCAGCGCCGTGAATAGAGTCACAAGACCTTCTAAAATTGCAAGCAAGGTATAGTTGAAGACATAAAAGGATGTTGGTAGATTGAGGCTTGTGTGTTGCTCATGCAGTTTTAGAAGGTTTTATAAAGAACCTAGGTTGTATGTAGACAAACCTAAGAAAATAATATTATCATGAAGAATGTTTACTGATTGTAGCCTTAGTATTATCTTACAATAATGTCAATAAATGTGTTTTTAGATAACCTTAATGTTGACAACTCTTTAGGCCCCCTTCAATAATCGTTCAATTTTCGCTTTTTCAATTTGAAGAAATCTTTCTCCCCTGTCCAGCATATAAAGTCACAACAAATGTTTAGATAAAACATTGAACATCAATTATATATGTTTTTAATAAAGAGAATGGCATGTCTCTCAAAGCGCAATGTTAGGAATGTGGATCCATTATTCATGGGCATTTCGAAATTTAACCAGTTCTTTTATCCTGTCCACATTTTGAAAAAGTGTGATAATGTTCATTTCGTTTCAGTTTAGAAAGAATCATATTCTATTGTAACCTTTAATGGTGAAAATCTAGTTCTATAGAAATCTCAGTTCTTCAAATGTAGGTGGGTAACTATAAGGCAAAAATATATTGTTTATAGGCAACCATTATTATAATAGTATTTTTAGATATGTCAGTAAAGTCCTAATATAATCATATAGTATTCAAGATATAAGCGATTATATTTTCATTTGTTATATCTCGAGACCATTGTGTTTAGCTATTTCTTGAACTGGATATATCGTCTTTAAAACATAACTGCGACGTTTATGAAAATTACTGTTTACCGGCCAGTCATAGAAGGACTGATGTCATGTAGGCCGAGCTGTACGCGCTTTTATGAAAAGTACAGGACTGTTGTTAGTTGCAACTCCAGGTATCTCGCTTATTGACATCATTTTGATAAATATGAGCACTGTGGTCAAAATGAACAATATGAACACTGTCAGATTTGTAGAAATATAATGTGTGCAAATACGCTTATAGATGGATAATCATGAAGCAAAAATATATTTTTAATTGATAACAATTATTCTAAAATATGTAACACATATGTGTACGTATCCAAGTAAAGTCCTAGCATAATCATCTAGACTGGAAATTACAAACGTTGTTTTTCTGCATTCTTCGGTCTCTTTATAACTGACTTATTGTTGTGGTAAGAAATATCGTCTATGGTACATATCTCTAAAAATTGAAAAAGACTACTTGTCAGTCTGTCATATAGTGTTCGATGCCGTATAGGCGTTGTTGTACAAGCTTTGGTGTTTAAAATGGAAGATGTTTAAGTTGCAACTCTGAGTTTAATGCTTGATGCAATTATTATTATACTCTTCTTGGCACAGTTTTACAGATAATAGTAATACGCTCTAAACATAAAGGGTTGATGCAGATAGTGTGAATACCTCCACCATGTACAATACCCACTAACCAAGCTATACAATGGTGCTGTTAGTTTAAATGCAATGTTAGGGAAAGGCACAGGAGCCTATAGTAAACCCTAGCAAGGGAAATAGGTAGGGAGGGATTAGAAACAGAGGAGGGAAGATAAAGCTGTTGATTTCAGTTTTGAATAGAGACAGCATGTGAGAGTCTGTGTAGCAGGAAAAGGAGAGCAAGTTGACAGGAGAAGGGAGAAAGGAGGAGCGTGAGACAGAGTCCGTGAGTTTGGCAAAGAGACTTAGAAAGGGTGAAAACTGAAAGAATGTCTGCTATTCGTAACATGTCTCAGAGGACCCCGGATCATGTCTCCCGTTTCCTGAGAGCAACAACATCTTGATAAATTCAATAAAAAAGGAGAGATCAGCGATAGAGCGTCGACAGAAAGGAGGCTGAAGAGACTGTTTGTTTGAAAAACATCAGAAGATAAAGCATAGTTTTAGCAACGTGAATCAGCCCTGAAAATGATTATTTGATATACTCCACAATGTTGTAGCTGGGTTGGCGATGAAGAAGGTATTAATAGCCAGTAATTTCGGAGGAACTAATTTTGGACAAGGATTTGGAACGTTTTTTATGTAATTTCGGACGACTCTATATCAATTGCGTGTGCTGATAATTGCTGTTTAAGATGCATGTTTGTTAAGAACATTGTGATACTTGATTAATTGTTTGGCTCGACTCTCTCCTCGTTAACGACATGAAATTTCTTCAACTATGTTCCCTTGATCCAGGCTCAAAGCGAAGATTTCTTAAGAATATTGAGGCTGCGGAAAAATTATAATATTCTTTTAATACGAGAGTGACATTTACAGGATACAATTTCGGCTCACTTATTAGATGGCTCTCACGATAAGTGTCTCATGTCTCACGATATGCTGAATGTCTGCTGATTTGTCTAAAGTGCATAAGATTAGGACGCTAAAAATTTCTGACGCTCCCACCGAAATAAAATATAAACGTCCGAAGCACCCGGCGTTTAAAACGTTTCGATTCAACTGTTTTCTATTACAGTTTTGTAATGGTCTGTTAGAGTATATAGCCCGATTCAAGAATTGTAGAAATAAATTTGCTTTGCATGTTCTCTGAAGAGACCTTTTCTCGCCAAAACAAATATAATCTGCTAAAAAGCAGCTAAAGAGAAGTAAACGTTTGATATCAAGTTTCGTTCAGTGCGCACTTGCATTTGAAAGAAAACTAGAACATTTCCTTCCGGATACCACGGGCAGCTGTTTAAACTAAAAGTCATATATTATACTGAATATAGGCTCAGAATTATAAACGTTTCATCGATAAAAAGCTTAAATAAATAAATAAACAGAATTCTAGTATCAGGATGACATATTTGATTGCGTTATATAGCTTCACCTGTCCATAAACGCTTCAAAATCATTCCCTAATTCTTCACTTGCTCAAAATTATTCATGAATTCACAAGGCCCGTACACAACTTGTTATGGGAAAACATACGCATCATCAATTTATCGCTATGATATTTTTCACAAGCATATGTTAAGTACCGCCTTATACTTTACACAGACTATCAACTTATTTGCAGGCAGTACTCTCTAAAACGGCATTGTCAATCTCCCTTCCGGATACATTTCGAAACAAAGTGGTTATTACACAACGCGTTTGATGAAAAACTGACACAACGCGTTTGACCCTACAAAACGATGAGCATAAGAGAACTTGGCAATGATGAATCACTCACATCCAGAAGAAATTTACTATTGCCCGTCAATATGGCCACTGGACATGCCATGGCCTCATTTGATCGCTTTTTCGTTTTTTACCGCCCTTTTGTCACCAATCATCATCATCTCAAATGCAGCACTAATTTACGGACTGTACAAAATGGAGCAGCTTAACACGATCACAAACAAATTCATTCTCCTGATGAATATTTCAGATCTTGGCATTGGAATATTCATCACGCCATCCATGACTGCAATGATAACTTTAAAAGACAAGTACCGCAACTGTGCTTTTGAACAGGTTATTCAATATGGCGTCTTTCTTCTCGCATATTTCTCCTTTTTCATGTTGATGTGCGTATCTATGGATCGGTATCTTCATGTGACGAAACTCAAAAAGTACAATAAGTTCATGAACGAATTTCGCATGAAGGTGATCGTTGTGTTTAGCTTCGTAACATCGGCAATAATCGCCTACATATCGATCGCGTTCCCTTCTTTCCCGCTGCAAGTCGTGTTGAATTTATCCAATCTTACTTGCGTTCTATTTGTGTTCATCCTGTATTCAATGGTGTTCCGCAAAATTGCTGTCCATGCCGAGAGGATCAAGAAAATGTTCAGAGATGCCAGAGAAGATTTAAGTAACCGAGAAACAAGACGAGAAATCTCGGCAACGAAAACGATTCGTTTTGTCCTGGGTGCTTTGTTGGTTCTCTATCTACCGTACAACATTAGCTCCGCAATTTGGACGTATTACAAATACCAGGAGAAGAGGAATCCCCCATTAATCATGAATGTTCTAGAATATTGTGCCTACATTATCATTTTAAGCAATGCAACAATAAACGCTATCCTTTTCGCATATGGTAACAGTATTGTGAGAAGATTCTTGATTGGCAAATTCTTCAGAAGTCGTGTATTCCCGAACAGAATTTCGCCTGCTTTTCCAGAAAATTTGAATTAAAGAAGGCTCTCTTGTTGCTCTGCCCGGCCTTTGAAATTGAACGTCGAAATCTTCTCGCTAGAGTCTTTGAATTTTTACAATCATTAGGATATACCGATCTTTCAAATGAGGTTTTGATACAACTTTTGTTATATGATGATAAAAACTTCCCAAATGACCTCAACAGTAATATAATCGAGTTGACTCTCCAATACATTCACACAACTGGTAGATTCGAATAAGGTCACTGTTACCATGCCACCAAGTCCCTTTTCATAGAGTTTCGTATGCCTACTTCTTCTTTCTTCCATTTCGCATTTGACACTAGGTTTATTATAGTGCTAATGACTATCCACCTTGACTCCATGCCAATCTTCTGATTCAATTACATTATATTAGGTAAAGACCTCGTCCAATGTGAAACGGGCTTAAGTATTTACCGTATATGTATATGTTTTATTTTACTTTGTATGTATTATCATAATCTAGTATACGTATATATAGTGTTACAGTTTTATTATCGGTTATATTTAGATACATGTCATATCCCAGGGGGCAGTCGTGTTATATTGCTCCTCCTGGGTTCCGTCCTCGTTACGTAGTTTAGTAGTTCGTACGTACTGTTTTAAGCATTTTGTAATTGTAAGTTTTCATACCGAATATATAAAAAAAAAAGTGGAAGGTTGGCCAATGCAACATCAATTCCAACAAATCCCAACACTCTTTGTCGTCTTGTAGGCATTCTTGGACATTGCTGGGTGTGGGCGTGGCCAAACCAGTGCTGCATATTCATACAACATTTTCAGAAGGAACGTCTTCGACCTAGCAACAACAAAACCATGGGATTTGACGTCATTCACTTAAACTGCTGGAAAGCTATCAACAAAAAGCGGCATCAGTTTTTTGAAGTCTATGCCAAATTTGGATTCACACCCACCAAATCTCGCGCATTTTAGAACCGCTAACAAAGCAAATTAAACCAAGCCCAGTTTGTGAACAGTTTTTTGGCTGTATAGAACTTGAAAATGGCTTTGAAAAAAGCAATTCAAATCTTGCCATTCTGGACAATCAGAGAGTGGGCAAAATTTGGAGTGTCGTCAAGAATTCAATCTGAAAAGAGAGTCTCGGAAAAACGACATCATCTTCTTTAAATTAGAAAGCAGCACATTCTATCATTCATTTTCACTAGCACTTTATCAGATTATTAACGTTTTCTTGTGAAGCACTCAGTTTTAGGGTCTTCTATTATTATCATCCTTTTTAAAAGTCTACAAAATGTAGACTTTGAGAGGTTGACACCACTTGGTTGGCACATATACAGATGATACGAAATTGACGACAGTTTGTATCATTATTTTTATCATTTTAAAAAAACGTACGTTTTCCGAGGTATCGTGAAGGAACGTTGTAGTTTTCTTTTAAATGCGAAACACGGGTTGAGAGGAAATGGAAATCAGAAGAATCTTAAAGCTTTCAGCCTATTTGATAAAAAAGTTCTTGAAAGAGCCGATGAAAGTTTTATGCTCTTTTGTCTCCTTCTTTAGCAGATTTGATATAAAATCGCGAGTTAAAAATTCGGCTGAACGACTGTAAATAGATTTATTCATACAATTCTGTAATTGGGAATTAATAGTTTTAAGAAACATTACAAAAAAGTCATACAAAAACCAAAATAAATCCTTGAATAATTTGTGCTCCTTCGTATTGCAAAAGTGGCTAGTAGCTCAACTGTGACATTTCAAAAGCTCTGATGACATTTATCTTTGATTGCATATTTGATGACATTCTAAGAAAAAAAGATTTCATTTTCTAGCTTTAAACAAATTCCCGCTCCCGCAACTCTTGATGAGAATAAAAAAATTGCTGCATCGTTTCCATATTATAAATTTCAGCTTGCTTCAACAAACGGAAAATGTCATTGATAGGTATGCTAAAAAGAAGAGGCCCTAAGATTGATCCTTGGGCGACAGCTAATTTCATTTCTTTCCAAAAGGCTGAATGAGCGGTCAATTGATTTTGACTCGCTGCTTTCTACCCGCTAGATAACTGTACACCATTGTAAGACATTTTTGCTAAAGCCGTATGCGTTAAATTTGGAAAGCAAGAGTTCATTGTTGAGACAGTTTCAAGCGTTGGACAAGTCCACAAGAACTAGCCTGAGAAAACCTTTAATCTTTAACGTTCTCTTACAAGTCTCCACGATTGTCTCTCATATCAAATCTAGATAAACCATTCTCAGCACTAGAACCCTGACGACATGCGCAAAGGCTAGACTTGTGAATCTTCTTAACAAAAGGTAGCATTTGATTTGTCTCAAAAACTCTCAAAAACTTTATAGACTGAAGGTAATACTGTTATTTGACTATAGTTCTTTTGTTGAATAACTCGATCTTCTTGAAAAGCGCTCTAACATCGTTGTCTTTCAGTTCATTGGAAAAATAATTTTTTTTACACTTTTATTGATAAGAAATAGCAGGTGAGAGACGACTAGGTCAACATTATGTTTAATTTTCTCAGCTGGAATGCTGCTAATATGTGAGGCTTTCTTAATATTGAGATTATCAACTTGCTCAAGAACTTCAGAAATTGAAGCCCTTCGGAAACTGAAAGCCTTGACATCTTCACGGCGACTTTCTATCAAAAGTACGCTGGAATGAGAGCGGTATACTTCAATGCCTTAACTTTATGTAAACATAGAATAAAGATCTCTCTGTTCTGTGATTTAACTAAGCTCATTGTAGGCTAAGCTTGTTGGTCCCAGAGCAATCAAAGTTACGTAACGGACACTGTAAACTAACTATGACCAGGTTTTGACACTGCTATACACCTGTTCCGTCCCCTATTAATAAATTATTATAGGAAACCTCTGAAACAACTTCCATTATGCTCCTGAAGCATCTACTTTCTTCAAACCCCAAACAAAGCACCATGTTGCTATATCTATATTTTCTCTTCTGGTGCTTTTCAAAGTGGGCATACCTACATGGTACAGGTGATCGCTTTATCTGTACAAACACCTTGTCTGCAAAACACATTATCGGTCGGGAAACCTGGAATAAAGGTCTGTCATCAAACACTATATGACAAGCAGTAGTCTTCTTCAATTTTTAGATATATGTACCATAGACAATATTTCTTAGCACCACACCAAGTCAGTGATTAACAGACCACAAAATGAAGAAAAACAACGTTTTTAATTTCCAGTCTAGATGATTATGCTAGGACTTTACTTGGATACGTACACATATAAGTGTTACATATTTTAGAATAATTGTTATCAATTAAAAATATATTTTTGCTTCATGATTATCCATCTATAAGCGTATTTGCACACATTATATTTCTACAAATCTGATAGTGTTCATATTGTTCATTTTGACCACAGTGCTCATATTTATCAAAATAATGTCAATAAGCGAGATACCTAGAGTTGCAACTAACAACAATCCTGTACTTTTCACAAAAGCGCGTACAGCTCGGCCTACATGACATCAGTCACTCTTTGACTGCCCGGTAAACAGTAATTTTTGTAAAATGTCACAGTTATGTTTCAAAGATCATATGTCTAGTTCAAGAAATAGCTAAACACAATGGTCTCGAGATATAACAAATCAAAATATCGCTTATATCATGAAGACTATATGATGATATTAATACTTTAACGACATATCTACCAATACTTTCAGCATATTATTTACATATTAACTGATCACTTATTTTGCCTGACTATTACCAAACTACAAGTACGTTTGGACACATAGTATTTCTAAAAAACTAGATTTTCATCATTGTGCAATATCATCACTAAATATGATTCTTTCTAAACTGACGAGAAGGGAACATTGCAGTGGTGGCGCCAGAGGGGAACAGGGGGCTACAGCCATCCCCATTCATTATTGTGCAATATGAATATAATTCTTTCTAAACTGAAGCAAAGAAAACATTGACAAACTTTTTCGAAAATCGTACAGGAGAGGTGTAGTGGTTAAATACCGAAAAGGCCACAAGTTATGGAGCCACACTCCCGATTTTTCGCTTCGAGGAACACGAAGATCTTTTTATCTGATATTTACACTGATCAATGTCAACATTATATGTCAAAACATAAAAGATACGGGGAAACGAAATCCTCAAGATGAAAAATCCAAGGGAGCCTGAAAGACTCATTAACATTAAGGGTATCTTCAAACTCACTATACCTGATTTTGACATTAAAAAGATATAAGTTACTCTTTGGCACTGTTTACACGGGATCGGATCCAAACAGTATCGGATCCATTTGGATCCGAACTCATTTTGAGGAGGTGTTTAATCGGGATCGGATCTGAAAATATTTGCGTTTACACGGAATCGGATCCGAGTGGATCAAAGATGCGCAGATTTGTGTGCCTACTCCAATAACGAAATTATGGCGGCAATTATTAAACTTCAGAAGGGAGAAAATTATTGGTCTTTTACAGTGATCGAAGGCTATTGTATCTGCCTTCATATTTTGTTTTATTTTTTTCTAAATAAGATGTTCTTTGGATTTTGCCTACTCTATTTTCAAGCACCACTTTCAGCAGTAGAGCCGTCTGACCCTTTATCAACCTCTCTATTCATTTTGAAAAAACAGAAATTTTGATGAATAGATTTGATAGCTGAGGTTAAACCAATTCGAGAGATTCGAAACAATAAATTTCTTTTTTTTTTAACGCCAAGTCTAGGAATGCTAGGAACACTTGATACAATTTTTCCGTAGTCTTGGAAATAGAATGCTTTCGCGTTACCTCTAAAGCCAGGTAACCAGGAAACTAATAGTCAATTGCTCCTCTTCTCATCTTTGGATATCTTTTTTGCATGTAAAAAAGGTCTAGAGCTCATTGCGAATTTCAGTCAACGATTCTTCTGTAGGGAAATTAGATACATGGTTCATATTTACCAAAGGAGGGTCTTGATTTTTAAAATAGTAATAACAAGAAATCTTGAAATCATTGACTTCTGTAGAAAATTCTGTTCAAGATAAGGTGCCAGAATAGAAAAAAGTGCTGAAAACAAACGCGTGTGGCTAATAAGTTCCTCCAATATGCGTTTGTTCTTTCTTTCTCTTTGTTCATTGCGTCTGACAATCTAAAGGAAAATTCTCTGCAGACTTACAGTCAAATAATTAGCTATAAGTTGGATTGCGGGGAACTTTTGAAACACTTTAGGTACCGGGCTTTGCAAAACCTGTGACCGAGGAATTTGATTGAGGCGATCTAAACCGGGGACAGTCATTTTGTCGCCGGGGCAATATATGCTGGGGCACTAAGACAGGGGTGTACTATACCTTGCTTGCAATTTCAGAAGGTCTTGTGACGTCACTCACGACGCTACTGGGAGCAACTTGACTCCTGCTAATGCGTCCAATTAAGAATCTCCTCACAACGCTGTTACCATATCCGAATAGGATAGCATTTATTGCTGCATTACTAAACACGATAACATAAGCCCAATATTCTAGGACATTCATGATTAATGGGGGATTCCTCTTCTCCTGGTATTTGTAATACGTCCAGATTGCGGAGCAAATGTTGTACGGTAGATACAGAACCAACAAAGCACCCAGGACAAAACGAATCGTTTTCGTTGCCGAGATTTCTCGTCTTGTTTCTCGGTTACCCGAATCTTCTCCGGCATCTCTCAGCATTTTCTTAATTTTCTCCGCATGAATGGCAATTCTGCGAAACACCATCGAATACAATATGAACATAAACAGAACACCAAAGAGATCGGATAAATTCAACGCGACTTGCAGCGGGAAAGAAGGAAACGCGATCGATATGTAGGCGATTATTGCCGATGTTACGAAGCTAAACACAACGATCACCTTCATGCGAAATTCGTTCATGAACTTATTGTACTTTTTGAGCTTCGTCACGTGAAGATAACGATCCATAGATACGCACATCAACATGAAAAAGGAGAAATAAGCGAGAAGAAAGGCGCCATAATGAAGAACCAGTTCAAACACACAGTTTCGGTACTTGTCCTTTAAAGCTGCCATTGCAGCTATGGATGGCAGGACAAATATTCCAGTTCCAAGATCTGATATATTCATCACGAGAATGAATTTGTTTGTGATCGTGTTTAGCTGCTCCATTTTGTAAAGTCCGTAAATTAGTGCTGCGTTCGAGACGATGGTGATTGGTGACAAAAGGGCGGTAAAAAATGACCAAGTGATCAAATGGGGCGACGGCATATCCAGTGGCCATAATGATGGACAATAGTAAATTTTACTTGTACTTGAGTTGCTCATTTTTTATGACCAATAACGTCCTGGATTCTTCTCCAGTTTCTAGCAATCGCCTTGTTCCAAATGCTCTTATCGGTTCGACACTATTTGCAATACGGTTCAAATATTAGATTGCTACAAATGCTTTTCCAGAAAGGCTATTGGCCTTTCTAATTGGACTTTCAAGAACCATCAATGTTGTTTGCATCAAATATTGAACTTTAATTTCCAATAAATCAATGTACGCAATAGTTACATACAAAAAATATTGTCTTAGAAAAGTGTTCAAAGAAAGAGCATGAAGCAGAAATGACGGGCCATCATATCGGTATGTTTTACACAGTATCTAAACATTCATACTAGGAAATCCCCCAACCAATCGTATGTTGATCTCTAAATAGTGACGTAACGAAGTCAGGATCTGTATTTTCTAGTTTGCCATTTAAAGCTCGAACAAAAAAAATTGACAGGCATGAATAACAGCAGACGAAAGCTACAAGGAACGGAAATCATATTTTCTCACTCGCAATATCTAAAAATGAAGAAAGCATTCCATCCATGAAATTTCTTCACTGTGCTAGCTCGGAGCAATGAAAATAATATGTTCTAACGAAGGATTCTGTTTGGTAAGAAGAACCGAATTCTAATTTTCTTCTCTGTCAGTGCTTTCTGGAGAGCATCCTTCTTTGCAGTTGCATTTTAATGTTTGACACAAAAGTTGCATTGAACGGTGAATCTTCAAGGGCTTCACACCCTGAGAGTCTGTCCAAGTTGAAATGGAAGAAAGAAACGTCACAAATTTCACTCTACCAACGATGGTGACGTGACATCTTAAAACTGTTAACTTGCATCTTATTTGTGGTAGCAAAACTGTAAAGACCAAGAAATGCTAACACAAACTTGCCGTGAAAAGAAACAAAGCGAAACCAAGCTGCTAAGGAAATCCACAAGCATGTCTTCCGTTGCTGACGAACAAACCTGACTTAATCATATTATTGCAAAGTTCACCCAGGAATAAATACACCTGCAGGTCGATTGCATAGCTAGACAAATAAACATCTAACGGACCGATCAAAAACTTTCGATTCAAATTTTACCTTTGCCAATAATTGTTTCTAGACCAATTCACCACCAATAAAGTCACCAGGAACATATTAAATTCTGTATTGGGACACAAGCAAGTTGTCTTGTAAGATTTATAAACAAAATCGGTATTCCAATTGGCATATGAACAGAAAATAAACATTCAAAACGTGACTGGAATGCATGGAGGCCCTGATTTGTTGCCATGACAGGAATAAGAATCAGAAAGAGCAAGGGTTGCTAAGCAAGTCATGCACAGATAGCTACTGCAAATGAATACGGATTTAAAATGTCCTTTTAAATCAATGTATCTGTTGCGGTTAAGGACCCGCCTGGATGCAATTTGGTATTACAGGCGATAGGCAGATGGCTACAGCCACCTGGCAATCAATTATTGGCCAATCAATAAGCAGCATGATGATATAACATTTATTGATTAGCCAATTGTTGATTGATAGATCGCTAAAGCCACTTAAGCATCCGTCCGTCGATTGCTGTTAAGCAACTTTCACTAGTAATTTTTAAAAATAAAGCGACTCGCAACTAATCTGTACTCATTGACACTCGAATAGATGCCAAGTTTAAACCTTCTAGTAATACATTTGTATATACTGAGTTTTATAGGAAATTTCAGTCCAGGATTGGCACCAATTTTCATAATTGTTTTGCAAAAGAGAACACCTGACAAGTCACCATTAAACATTACCATCAAACAAAAATGGGTGCCTAATCGTCGAAGAGAATCATTCTAGCCAAACCTATAAAAAAGGATTTTCGAGCAGTTCCTCAAAACTAAGGGTGATGAGCCAATGAGACATCCAGCCCTGATTCCAGGAATCGGATTCCAGGTGCCCAATTGAAGCTTCAAACAGACGTCTTTTGAACTGAAATCAGCTTTCTCAACTTAAAAAGTACGTACATGATTTCTAATGGTTGATTATAGTACTGGACACTAGTGACGTCATCTAGCATCAATTTAGTTGATTCTTGATTATGAAGGTTTGTGTGTTAATTCTACCGGATTCAACTTGTAGTAGGCCGTACACGATAAGAATTTACATGATTAGCTCTACAGTTTGAATTCCCCAAAATGATGATTTTACCAACATTAAAATGATACTAAAACTATAGCAAAATGATCTCCTCGGGCCTTAAACAAACAAAAGAGCATCATGCATTCGCTTAGAATACTGTATGATCATTCAAGAAGACAAATATTGCTCCAAAAGATTGACTGAGCAGATGAAAATAGCATTTTTAATCTAGTATTGTTGATCTCACAGCAGGTGTTTGTTTAATTTGTGACAATCAGATACTGGCTTAAAACACTGCATATTTGTTTTAAGCAGCAAAAACTTGCAATCATGATTTTAAAACTGACCAGAAGATTAAAAACAGCGCCGCAGGATTTATTAACAATCAGCAAGCTAAAGAAGAAGCAGCCTACGTAATTGAATTTAAGAAAAAAACAGCCCGCTGTTTCCTACGAGAAAGATAAAGATTTGACTTTATAAAAAAAACTCAAATTTTAATTCAAAAATGAAAAAAACTGTTCTACAAGAGTGACTCTGTTTATTTTTTAGTATGAATCAGAAACTGTATATTATGGTGTCTGAGCAATGACATCGGACTGTTTGACTGATAGATAGATCGCATGTTTAAATTATATTAATAGCAGTATCAGTTAGCCTGAGAGAGATACAGAATGAATCTAGAAAGGACATTTTGGATTTCTCCACATTGCTGGTCTCAGGCTAACTGATACTAACTGATACCTCACTCAAGACACTGTATATATATGGAGAATGTTTTGCGGTGTTAGTTCTGATGGGGATAAGATATTTTTATGTATATATAACCCGTCTGAATTCCATATAGTGCGCGGGGAAAACCTTGTTCTTGTCAGATTTTCTTCTACACGCGCCAGAATTTCCAGTATAATGAACTTTCCCACGCAGAAATCAAGGAATTAAACTAGTCACTTGAAACAAACAGACCCAAAACTATTTATTTGAATCTGAAATCAAGTAAAGTAATATGGAATGCCCTGCTAAAGATTAGCTTTAGCCTCAAAAGTGTGACTTTCTCAGCCGTAATGTATGCAATACAACAGAGCTACTTTAATTCAAAATATCCCATTGATTGAACTCTTATTCGCTTAATAATCACAATTTTTGAAGCTGTGTGCAGGTTGTTTACATTTTTGCATTAAATTAAAGAAGAAAATTAATCAAGAAGAAAAGAAGAAAATTGTTTTTTATTGTTGAAGAATTCGATGCGGTGATTTTTGCATGGAGGAATTTAGTTATTGGAGGAGTTCTTTGAAAATTGAAAATTTGATATGTCATTCAAGGTAACTATCTAGTAGATGGGCAACTGGTGTTCATATTATCATGAAATGATATTTGTTTTTTCGTTGAAATCGTGAATTTTTTTGTGAAGTTTCTAATTAGTATGATCTCTATATTATCAGGGTTTTTTTTGGTTCGAAATGAACGTCAAACACAACTTGCTAGTTGTTTGACTTATAATCGTAGATCAACCAACATCTTTAATAGTGAAGCAAAATAACAAAATAATCGATGCTTAGTAAACAGTAACAGTCAAAATCAGAGGTCCATTGCTATGGGAAGCAAGCAAAATCCTAAAGCTCAGTGTATGGGGCGTGTATTAAAGGAAAGCTTGATTACAAGGAGGCTTTTATTTCTAATTTTGTGTGAGAAAAGGAGGCGTTTATTACACTTCTATGTAACAAGCCCAGTGACAACTGTCCACGGTGAAAAACCCCCCGTTCACTTCCGACAAATCGAATGAGCCAGGCATTTTCCCATTTCCCTAATGTTGATAATGTATGAAATATCGGTAAACAAGTCGCAGGAAAAACGCTTTTCCCAATCCCCAACGTTGCTTAGTAGTAAACCAACATTGTTCAAAGAGGGGGAAGGGGGATGGCTGAATTTGCCCTTGAAAACTGAGACCTAGTGTACCAAGACATTTGGCAGGCATTGTAGCTGTCTGTCTATGGGCAAAAACTGACTGATAATATAATTAAACAGTTGTTAAATTTTTTAAAGTATTGACAGGATTTTATCGAGCTCATGGGCTCCTTTTAGAACTTTTAGGTAAAATTATATGTACTTTGGCACATTGACAACAAAATCCATAATCTAGCAGAAGAAAATATGCTCGGTTGTAAGTATTGCTCCCCTGACAAATAAAAGATTATGTGTTTCAAATGGGATATTTTTGTTCTCCAAATCGAAAAAAATTTCATTTAAACAATATACTGGAGCTCAGTTTACCAGTCTGTGAAGTGTTTAAAGAATATGTTTGCTAGAAGGCTCACATGTCATGGAATATATTCTTCCTATTGGTTGTTGGAATGTTTTCATCCCGGCAAGCTCCCAGCTTTAAGGCTTTTTACAAATTAACCTAGTATCCTTTTATGATGAGAAAAAATTATAAGGATTTTTTAATCCGACTTTGGTGAATTTGCATAAATGTCTGTAAACCAACTTTGGTGAATTTGGGTAAACGTGATTTCTAAACATATGACAGCCAATTGAAAGCTGATAGTGTCGAAACTGCGATTTAGTACAGTTTAAAAGACGCGCACATATCATTTGGAGATGTTGCCTAAGCCAATGCAAATCTCTACTATACTGCTATAAATAACCAGCTTGTATACCAACACGCATAAAAACGCGCAACTGGCTAGAGTTACGTTAATAACGCCCTGTGGCCTGCCCAGGTCCCAGTTATACCGAAGACGAAGGGGGTGACTCGAGTCACAGGCTCAATAATAGTAGTACCAGGAAAAACAGTTTTCCCCTCCCATTTGAATCTTGTCTCTTATTTGACTTAAATGATACTATTTTCTAATTACACAACTGACACTTTAAAAAGGCGATCAACCAATAACAGATGCCTCCAATCAACGGATTGATGTCTGAGGGTGGCTCAATGGTTTGGGTTGCTGACTAAAGATCTAAGGGTATGTGGCACGAGCCCCTGACTTGACGAAACTTTCACTCAGAGTGAGGGGAGTCACCAATTCTCTGTAATTCCAAGCGTTGGAATCACGAGGTGTGGCCAAATTGAGAGGAAGGACCAGGACACTGCTCGATAAGCATAGCTTCACAGTGTCCTTATACAAACTTACTAAATTAGTTGGTTTTAATTAGCTTGAGTATAGCTAGAGATTGTACTAACTTTAAATAATAAAATAAAAAAAATGAAAACCGGACTGGTGGCTTTTTCAGAATTTCTCATACAGTCAAACCTAGCAGAAGCAAACTCCAACAAAGGAAGAAACTCAAGCCTCGCAGTTGTGTGATAAATTGTGACAGCATATTTCTGAAATAATATGATACACTGAGGTCCTGAAAATCGCCATAAATTTTCAAAATCATTAAAGGTATGGGATGAAAGTAGCCAGTATACGAGTCTGAGATACCATAAATTGAGTTTTCACCATATGTAAAATAGAGAGGGGATGGCAACCCTTGATAAAGATTTACTTTCCTGTGATAAGAGAGCTTTGTGAGATATAACCACAAAATAACTTACACAAACCTCTAATATTCCAATGAAGAAGTTGACCCTTGAAGGTAGCATTTCTTTCATAAAACACAGCAATTTAACTCTTATTAAAAGTGACTTACCCATGATAGTTTGCATCGACAGTCAGATGATCTTCATATGCTTCTTGCAATCGTCCAATCAAGACCTGCTTCTTGTCCATAATGGCTTGTAAATGGTTGCAAAGTTCTTCTAGCATTTTCAACATTGAATCTATGAAATAAAGTTATATCTAGTTGTATTTGATGACAGTGGCTTGCTCAATAAAAACCTGCAAAATGTGGAAAATTTTGTAAACGCAATCCAAATGCTGTTAAAGCTAAAAGCCTTTATGCATAAATGATTTTCTCATAGGAGATAAATATGTAAGGTTTCCTAGTAAGAAATAAATAGCATAAAACTTTAATGTAAGGGAAGCATAATTTCTCAAAATGGTCTTGTGTTAACATGTTTGCTTAGAGCTCAGAGAATTCTACCAGAAAATTACTCAGGAAACTAAATTAGAAAAATCTTTTTTGTAAAATAATGTTAATTTTTTCCGGGGCAAAAGTATGGGGGTAGGTTTTGCTCCACAACAACCATAATTTGGTGATTGGCTTTTGTAAACAAACTTTTGCAATTTGGTGAAACATTGAAAAATCAAGCTTGAAATGGAGGCATGTGATTGGCTTTTGTAAACAAACCCGCTGATTGGTCTTAAACCAAATATGCTCTTGTTTCTTGTGGGTCGAATAATAAAGACCACAAACAATAAATGACAAGCTATAAATTATAGCTTAATAAACTAATATATTTGATAATTGATGATATCAAATTTGTAATGATATCTTCAGCAAAGGTAATAGCAGAGAAACTGAGAGAAAGGGGCTCTTAACTAGGCCTCTTTGTAAAATTATACAATTTACCTAAAGAGCTGGGATCTGTCAGATCAGCCGTATTTTGCAGTGCAACTTTGTGCTGTATATCAAGTTGAAGCTACATAAAAAAGAAGCAATCAGTTATAATACCCAAAAATTGCTACAAGAAAATTAAAACTGTTAATTTAAACTGCAAATTTTCCAAGGTCAATCTGAAAACCTCACTGCAAAACTTCTTAAATATTTCAGAATTTTTCTCTACTTTTCTGTTTCCTGGTAATTTTTTGCCTTTTAAGAATAAAAAAAGGCCTTGCCAATTGGGAAATACTTGCTGTAACATAATATTTATATTAATAGAATATCATTATAAATGATACAGAATACTTGGAATAATACATTTACAGTGTTGTTTGGTATGGTACAGAACAAGATGGCATGAAATGATATAGTATGGTATGATGTGATATGGCATGGTACGGCAGGCCTGGCGGTTTGAGGCGAGGGATAGCTCGCCCTCGCCTCCACGCCTCCCTCGCAACCTGAGGCGAGCTATGAATTGCTCTCCAAAAACGGAACATGAAGGGAGAATCGCTCCCCTAAAATTTCCATTCATTTGCCCTTTTCCTATTCAGATAACCACAGATGCTTCCTATTTAAAGGCAACCGACAGATACTATTAAGGGGCTTATTAAGTCATCTGTTGATTGTCTTTAAAGTACATTCTATGTGTTACTGATTTAGCTTGCCTCAGCAAATGAAGGGAGCAATTCACAGCTCACCTATAAAAATACAAACGGCCAGGCCTGGTATGGCATGGTATGGTATGGCAGGCCTTCCCAGGAAAGGTGTGCGATCGCACTCGCACGCGCAATTAAACACAGACCAAATGACCATAGCATCAGGGCTAGTAGTAGTCAGGACAGAACAAATTTTTTATCATAGACCTGTGTTAGCATGCACATGTTTCTAAAATACCTTTTTCAAATGGCAAATTAGGTTGAATTTTCAAACAAAATGTTTCCAGTTTAGACAAGATTTGTGCTGTATTTCTTCTAATCTAAATTTGGCATCTTCAGCAAGAAAAGTAAAAGGGTCACAAAAGAGCTTGCCATATTCCTGAAATTGGGCAACAATGACATTTTAAGGCTATACTATTTAAGTTCGCAACAATAATCAATATGACAAAATTGAAGCAAGTTGTGTGTGTAAAAAATCAGATCGTCAGGCATCCGTCATTCTAAGGAGCTGCTGTTTATTTGAAAGCCTTTGCCAATGGCCCCTTGCTGGAAAGCTTGCTTTCTGTTCACTATTCTTTTACGCCACTGATTTCAGAACCAGTTGCTACTGCCAGCTGGGTTAAAAATAAACGGAGCTTCGCAATGCTAAACAACCCTCCCCAGAAGGGCTTGGTGCAATATGACATATTTGTCCGATGAGGTTGTCCGGTTCTTCCACAAATTATTCAATGTTGTTGTTGTAATATAAGTTTAGAATAAATATCGTTGCTCTTTTGTTCTTAATATTATTATGCTGTCCGTAGTCGATATTGGTTTTAAAGCACGCTTAGCTGCATATTGTTGTGTTAAAGTAATTGATTGATGGATCTATTGTTTAGCTCAGTTGGAGTTGGGAGAGGCGTGCTCAAGTTGGAGAGTAGTTGGTGATCGAGTAGTTTTGAAGTGAAGTTTTCAAGTTGTTTAAAGTTGTCAAGATCGTTCGTTGTCAAGAATGGAATTTATTATAATAATAACTTGTAAATAGTCTATATATATATATATATCGTGTTTATTTCATTGTGGATTTTGCTACCATACACCGACCAGCCTTAAAAAGCACAACAATTTGGAGGTCCCACCGAGATGCGATGTTTACAAAATGCCTGGTAAGATTCCTGCAATTTCGAAGTTTAAAGGAGACAATTCTCTTAGTTTTCGACAATGGTCGTTGCAGTTTGAAGCACAACTGAAAGCGTTAGATGTAAAGAACGAAGGAACTAAATGGAGGGATTTGCTACTTTGCTGCACTGAAGCTAGTGCATTTGCGACCGTTTCAAATGCGATTTTGGCTGATGGGGAAATATCGTACGCTGATTTGAAGCATGAACTTGAAACCAAATATTGCGGTGCCGAATATAAGAGAACTTTGGAGACAAAGCTTCGTTCACTTGTTTTTAAACCAGGCGTAAATATCACAACATTTGCATTTGAAGTTAAATCAGTCGTACAAGAACTGTATGGAATTTCGGACGGTAACGTGATCGATTCGATAGCACAAAACCACGTACTATCGCAGCTGGACTCTTCGATTCAGGAGCCAGCCAAACTTCTGCAGTTAACGGGGAAATGTACACTAGAGAGCTTACTAGAGCTTATTAATTCGAAAGTTGCAGATAATCCGTATAATATTGCAACAGCAAAAGCAAGTTTTGAGACGGCCGCGACGAGTTATTCTAGCAATGATCGCGTTGATCGTTTGGAAAAGATGGTTGAGAAATTATGTTTTCGCATGGATGAGATGTCTAAAGGTGCGGAAGGATTGAAAAAGACGGAAGCATGCTCAAACTGTGGAGCAAACGGTCATGACAGGTCCCGCTGTTATAAGCTGAAAACATGCTACCAATGTGGTATGAAAGGACATATTTCCAAACATTGCAGACAAAAACGTGAAAATAGCCATGCACCCAAGAATGGCAGAGTCAGTTCATCGGCGGGTCGAATGACAGAGGAAAATCAAATTAATGTCGAGAATGGTGTTGCGTTAAAACCAGTCCCTCGAATAATGTTGAAACTGAACATAGGTGGATCTGATATGGACATCTTATACGATCCCGGAAGCATGTATACGATGATCACTCGCTGCGCATATGACGAATTGAAAATCAAGCCACCTTTGGTTCCCGTAAACCGTAGCGGAATAGCGGAATTGGAATTTCTGGTGAAACTTTCCGTTTGGATGGTGTTGCGTACTTGAATATCAAGTTTTTACGTGAAGATGGAACGTCATACATACTTGAATACCAGCCGGTACTGGTGTCATCAGTTATTTCATCTAACGTTTTGGGCATGGATACCGAGTTGAATTTTAAAGGAGCTGTCAGAGATCATTTTAATAATTTAATTACATTTGTTCCCTCGTCTGGAGATCAAGTTGTTATTAAATATTGGAAAGAGAAGAAGGACACGAATACTGCATATGTTCATGTTGCCAAGGCAACTATTATTCCTGCAGAATCTATCAAAATGGTACCATCAAAGATAATCAATTCAAAGAAGGATGTTTTAAAGGACGCTCCATGTGTATTTGAACCAATTAAAGAGAGTCGTGATGGCATGGAACTTAGCGATGTGTTTCTGCAGAGCGCTTCAAAAGTTGTTGATTTACCAGTGTTAAATGACAGTAGCGAAGATATGTTGTTATCAAAAGGTGAAGTCCTAGGAGTTATCAACTCAGTAGAGCAAGCACAAGAAACAATATTCCGAAACAGTGCTCCAAGTGCATTAGCTGTACACAAGTCTACTTTATCAGAAGATGAACTCAGCCCTAAGTTTCAACACTTAGACGAAGTAACTAGATCTACAGTAGTACGCATTCTAACAGATTACCAAAAAAATCTTACAAAGGTGCCTGTTGTCAATCATGCTCATCATGTAATCCATCTCAAGGAAAATGTACCAGTTTCACAGCCAGCTCGATGTCTTCCATACAATCAGCGTAAAGAGATTTTATCACAAATTGTTCGTCGTTTCAGAGTACCTATCGATATTCTGTATGGTACCTTTGAGAACACTGAGTCAGATTTAAGCTTACAATCATATAAAGATAATTTGAATTCAATGTACGATACTGCAAGAGAACACATGAATCAACGACAAGCTCGTTATGCTGCATATCATGATAAGAATGTTATTGATGATAAACTGTCTGTTGGTGATTATGTATATGTTTATTTACCACGACTTGCGAGAGTTAAGCTGATTGCTAAATGGAATGGACCATTTAAGATCATAAGAGCATCACATCCAGTCTACAGCATTGAAATTCCATCGAATAAAGGCACATTGATTAAAACAGTTACGCGTGATAAATTGAAAAGAGCTCCGGAATCTGTCATGAACACTACTGTTCTGCATGTACCTACAGATGATGTTACCAACTCTCAATCCTCTGATGAGATTTTTGCCGAAAGTGACACCGAGGAAGAGCTTGATGAACCACGTTATAACTTGCGTCCAAGAAGAAATGTTGTACGTTACAATGAAGAACTAATTTCGTTCGTTACAATGATTTCGTAACATTTTATGCCTAAAGACGCTCTTTTCAAGGGGGGAGGAGTGTTGTAATATAAGTTTAGAATAAATATCGTTGCTCTTTTGTTCTTAATATTATTATGCTGTCCGTAGTCGATATTGGTTTTAAAGCACGCTTAGCTGCATATTGTTGTGTTAAAGTAATTGATTGATGGATCTATTGTTTAGCTCAGTTGGAGTTGGGAGAGGCGTGCTCAAGTTGGAGAGTAGTTGGTGATCGAGTAGTTTTGAAGTGAAGTTTTCAAGTTGTTTAAAGTTGTCAAGATCGTTCGTTGTCAAGAATGGAATTTATTATAATAATAACTTGTAAATAGTCTATATATATATATATCGTGTTTATTTCATTGTGGATTTTGCTACCATACACCGACCAGCCTTAAAAAGCACAACATTGTATTGTTTTCATATGAAAGCGGAAACATTTGGAAAATGGCAGATTGTGACAAAGGCATGAAATTTTCAAGGGTTTTTGGGTCCAAAGATTTGGAATTCTCTTGCAAATGAAATAAAATCATCCAAAAATGGAAGTCAATTAAAAGTTCTTATAAAAGATTGTTATTTCGAAAATCAATGCACATGTAACGCTTACAGTCAATAACATCCATAATGCAATCTCTTAAATTGCTTCATGTTAGTGTTTATTAGTGTTCACACTATTGTCAAACTAACAGTAAAAAAGGTATTATTATAATTACCATATTATTATTATTACACTTGGAGACAAAAAGATAGTGCTTTGGATTCAAAGAGAGGGAAATTTACAATAGAATTGTTCTGTTTCAAGCGTTTGCACTGAACGTTTTGTGCCGTTTTCAAATCGTGCCATTTTTGAATCGCGCCATTTTCAAATCATGCCATTTTTTAATCGCGCCATTTTCAAATCGTACCGTTTTCCAAACTGTTTTCATATACCTTCTGAAGAGACACGATTGAAAGTTGGGGTCAAAATTTTAACTTTTTCAAGGGTTTCATGAAGACTGCCACCATGGTTGGTGGCAAGAGGGATTGTCAGTAACTGCATCTAAAATACTTTCAGCATCAAATTTAGTAAAGATCTCTGGCAATATCCTTTCCCTTCCTTTATCATTTTGCCACCAGAGATTTTATTGCTAAGGTTGTGTGAAAACTGAAGAAATGACTTAAGAATGGGGTTTTTTGAAGGCTCCATATACTATGTAATTAAACATTTATAGAAATAAGACAAAACACCAATATCACTCCATCACACGCCTAAAAAAGCTTAGGGGTGCAAAATGCCACACTTATGCTAATTAACTCCCAGGAAGGTCTGTATGGTATGGTACCTCAACACATTAAATAAAGAAAATTCGATCATTTTATTGAATAGCTCTATTCCCATACCTCATTCACTTTTTCATCCAGCTTTGCAATTTCCTTCAGGTGTTGGATCTGTTCAATGGAAGAAGTGGCAACCCTTCCAGTAGACCTTCCAGTATCCAACAGCAGGCCTTGATACCCTGGGGACTGAGCAATCTTAAGTGCTTTTTGAAGACCACCAACTGACACATAACTTGCACCAGATGCCCATGGATTGCTTTGTAATGATGACATGATGTTTCTATGGTAGCTCCTAAAATGAAATTGACAATTGATATACAAAATTGTGAATCAGTCTCAAAAAAATCCATAATTCTCAAGATGTGTCAAACAAAGAGACTCTTAAACAAATAATGCTGCTTGCTTACTTCACTAGATAGATTGGATTTTCAGTGTTATACATTTCTGACATGGGATATTGTGGTTGATCTATAAGATTTTGTGTGTTGCAAAGAAATGCTTTCATCTTTGCACAAACCCTTAAAAACTCATTATATCCTTTTTCTCAGTTCAGTTCAGATCATTTTCTAATTCTTAACATATATTTTATAAAAATTAATAAAAGTACTCTACGTCAGCCTATGAGAGGAGGAAACTACCTAAATACCGAAATAAATTTTTACATATAAGAATGAGCGACCTATTATTAAGCAGAGTTACTTTGTTGTTTTATCTTCTATTTCACTTAATCTTTCTTGCATTCTTTAGGGCTTGTTTTTTAGGACCAAAAGAAACAAAACGCTATCAATTCAAAATAACTATGAATTTAAATAAATGGTACCAGGAATATTAAAAAGATTATTTGAATAACATGCTATGATTATTTATTGATTATGCCTTATTTATTGATTATACATTAATTTAATGTAAACAGTTTAGGGCATTTAGCTGGATAATTGCTCTTCTTCTTCTCGGTGTCCTATATATACAACATCCAATACAAAATATCATTTTTAGTTACGACAATTATTAAAATTCTATCTACATAATGCCCAATAATCCAACAATAATGAATTTTCTATACCTGTAACAACTTTAAACCTTCTTATCGAGTTACCTTTCAAATTGTCAGCAATTTTCCCGCCATGTTTACTTCGAACAGTCAATGTCGATGAATAGAATTGAACTCTCACCTCTCACTCAGGGACAATCTCTCAAAAGGAGGCTCGTGGCCAAGTCAAAACATTATTTTTATTTTTGCAGGTTTTCATTGTTATAGAAATTTATTTTTCAAAAAATGTGGTGAGGATGAAGGCTAGAAATTACATCCAGCAGGGATTGCTGCTATTAGCTATTTTTGAGTTATATTACATAGCAGCTGAAGGCTCCCTGAAGACAGGATGCTGTTCACCATCTAGGCCAAAGACTCGACGAATCGATCAAGAAAAAGACACTGATCAGTTTGATCATCGTTGCAAGAAAAATGCAAAATACAAGGATAGCAGTTGTGAGATTAAAGATAAATTGCATACTCCTGATGCTTTTGGGAGTGATTTTAAGACTTTGAATAGATTTGTTCTGGTGAAAGGTGGAGATTTCGTCATTGGAACAGATAAACCATTTATTCCACAGGATGGAGAGGGTCCTGCTAGAGAAATATTTTTGGCTGATTTTTATATAAACGAGTATGAAGTTAGCAACAAAGAGTTTTTAAAGTTTGTAACAGAAGCAAACTATAGTACAGAGGTGAATGAAATCAGTGTTCCTAGTTTACATACATAGTAAAGAATCAAAAGTTTGCCTTGCAAACTATGCACTTAGGATCAAGCGCGTTCAAAAATTTGTTGCATAGGACCAGTAAACAACTACTGCTTTAAAAGAAAATTCAATCAAGTCATTTGATCTTACCCAAAATTCAACATAATGAGCATGACCATCTTGAAATGTTATTTTTCCTATGTTTATGGGTAGTGGTTATGAAGGACAGTTAGGTTTCCTCATCTGTTGTCAAATCTGAGGTGTTTTACAACTCCAAAATACAAAAGTGGGGATAGGAAATTGGTGTTCACAGGCAATTTATTGCAGGCAACTAGCAAAGTTTCCAGTCTGAAAAGTTTGCATGTTTCCAACACACCACATAATGCCCCATTACAGAATCATGGCCCTCTGACACCACAGATCTGTGGTGGACACCCTGTATAATTTCTATCCCAGCATATTATGTTTGTAAAGGTTCTATTGCCCAATGTTAAAGCATATGGCATTACAAATATATATTAAATATTTCTTTATTTTCAACATGTGTTTCAATCTAAAGCACCCAAACAGGCCTGGCCGTGAGCATTTTAGCATGCGCACAGTACATTGCTTTCCTTGGTAAAGTCAAGCGGGCAATGTTTAGTCTCTTGAAAATTGTCAATAAAAGTATATGAATAAACAACATTCTTTACAGCTGAGTTTACCAAACAAGATGGCGATTCTCCTGAAAAAAACGTTAGCTTCATATAATCGCAAATCAACAACATTCAAAATTTGTTCCATTGATGTAGGCTTCAACAGCTGCCTTTGCACTGCCTTTGCAAAGCTCGTTCAAGAAAATAGAAGCTTTACATTTAGCGCAAAGTTTGCACCAAACAAACATCACCATCTTCTTTCCATCCATCTCCTCAATTTTTCTTCCAAGAACAGCCCCGTTGTCGTATTTTTGAAAGTTCTTAGCTCAACAGTCAACCCTTTCTGGTTACTCGCTATGTTGAAATGATTTGGGTTTCATGTTTTAGGAATATTCAATTGGCCTTCGAAATAGCATTCTGGTTGAAATAAAACCATTCAAAGGATTTTCTTGTCCATTTGGCATTTAAAAATGCTTCATTTGTTTTTCGCATGACTTGTTAAGTAGTTAATGAGTTTACAGGAGTAGATGACTTCCTGAGAGATTAAACGTTATTTCCAAGTCAAAACATAAGGGATCAAGTTCCTATCAATATTTTAGTTTTACTTCAAGAGGTGTCGAGAAATGAAAGGAAGACCAAGACAGGCAGTTAATGTGCAAACTGACATTGAGGCAAGCTATGAATAGGCATGCGCGAGCGATTTTCTGCCTCAAACGGCCAGGTCTGCCCAAACCAATCAAAAATTGAAAAGGTTTCAATATGCTGAGTTATTTTTGGATGAAATACAATCCCCTTGCCCAACACATGTCTTGGTTACATAGGAATTTTCCATTTATTATTATATTTTCATGGTTTATTCCCTTTAAAGGTTTGCTGTAGATAAAGTCCATTGCAATTCATTATTTTGAATACTTTTACTGGCAATGTACAGGTAAATTTTGAAAGTGTGACAAGATCTTGTCCATGAAAGAAAGATTCTCCGGTTTGGCCTCTAGATTGTTTCCAAAATGTGAATGTGCTTACTACTTATTAGTCTTTTTTATAGCTGCTTTTCTTGTTGGTTCATTGCAACAGCAAATGTTAAGAATCCGTTCTTGGTTTTTAGGCAGAGAGGTTTGGCCAATCTTTTGTCCCAGAATTTCTTTTAAGTGATGAAACTAAAACCAACATCTCACAAGCTGTAAGTTAGAAAGGTATTTGGTACAATATTGCTTCTAAATTCATTTTTTGTAGCAATTGCTCACTTGTTACATCAGATATTTTTCTACAGAAATATCCCCTCAACTATGCATCATGAAAAGTGTCTAGTCCACTTTCAATGAATATATCTGTTATCTATATTAACAGCACTAATCTTTGAATATGCACAGTGATGGTGATAACATTCAATTCTGCCTACAGTCAAACAGCTTGAAGTCAAAAATATGTTAACAGTCACATATAATTCAGACCCAAATTTGCAAAGCTATTAAATTTTACCAATGTTTACAGTCACACTCTGCTTGATGTCACAGTTTTCAAACAACTTTTGGTGTGACTATAACCATGCTTTAAGTCACCATTTTAGCCATAAACAATGAACTTAACTATACATTCTTAAAGTAATGGTTCCTTATCTCTATCAGAAAAAATAACAAGAAATACAGTTTTATTTTTTGCTTTATTGTGCATTTTTATTATCCAGAAATACGGTTTTATTTTTTGCATTCCACCTTTCTTTATTGTTCACAATTTTCAGGTTTACAGAGCACCCTGGTGGCTGCCTGTAGAAAAAACCTCATGGAGACATCCAGAAGGGCCAGCAACTGATATAAATGAAAGGTCTGAATATATTATGATAAACTATTTCAGTAGAATTTGTGTTTATGTAAGGAAATGTGTCAAGCTAACTGATTGATCAAGGACATTAAACAGAAAACAGCACACTAGCACAACCCTCTCTAAAAGGTACACAGCCCTCTCTAAAAGATAAATGATAAAGCTAACAAAATAAATTGCTATTTCCTGATTTCTATTGCATGTGTTAAATTCAGTTTACATATTGAGAGTCATTCCATCTCAAGGTCGGTATACTTACAACTTAACTCAGGATGCAAATAATGTATATTTCTAAAGCTAACTTTGCACTCTATAATGTATTTTTAATCCCTAATATATCTATTGGATCATTTTGTACACCAGTAGGTGTAAATGAATTATGCTTAATAAAATTTGATCAAACCTCCTTAGACTGGATCACCCTGTTGTCCATGTTTCTTGGAATGATGCTGTAGAATTTTGTAAATGGAAAGGTGCCAGGTTGCCAACTGAAGCTGAATGGGAAGTTGCTGCCAGAGGAGGAAAGAAGGAAAGGTGTGTGTTTATTAAATGATTTTGATTGTTTATTTTGAATAGGAGAATAAAACAAGGCATAAACAAATATCAAAATAAACCCAGTGTCCAAAAGACTTTGACATTAATATTTATCCTTTGCTTGTTGTTTTATTTCATAATCTAATTACCATGTAAAGAAAAGCTTGAGCATTTAAATTCCCAGATCTTGTGACGTTTTTTCAAAATGTTGAAAAACGACTGAGACTGGAAAGCTTGACCTCTCTTTCCAGAGACTTGTTTTTCACCTAAGTGCATAACATTGATAAGAATAACAATTCAGTGTGGTAACTTTTCTAACCTCAAATTGTTTTTGAACCACAAATAGAAGTAAATCAACATTTAATTTTGATTTGATGATGCATAATTTATTATTGTTATACTTCCTTTAGACTCTATCCCTGGGGAAACAAATTACTGCCTCGTGATGAGCATAGACTTAATATATGGCAAGGCAAATTTCCAGACAAGAATACTCTTGAAGATGGATACCTAGGTACTGCTCCTGTCAGTTCCTATAAGCCAAATGGATATGGACTGTATAATATGGCAGGCAATGTTTGGGAATGGGTTTCTGATTGGTGGCAAATAAGACATGATGTCTTGCAGACGAAAAACCCTGTAAGTTTGTGTATTTTTCTCATAAAATTGCTGGTCTGATAAAGCCTTCTTGATACTAACATCCCAGCTTAACAAACATATCAGAAGTGCATATCAACAATATCTTTTTTCATTTAGAGTGGGCCAGAATCTGGAAAAGACAAAGTAAAGAAGGGAGGATCATTTATGTGCCATGAGGTAAATCTACGTTTTAATCATATTTTTATATTACAATAAAAATATAACTTCAGCAAGGAAGTTGTTATGCATCTATTTTGAAGAATGCAGCGTGAAAAGACATTTCATAATCTGATCTCGCTACATACAACACTCTTACGATCCGTTTACTAAACTATGGAATCACCCAAAACGAGCCAAAACAACCCAAAACGAGCCAAAACAACCCATAACGAGCCAAAACAACCCATAGCGAGCCAAAACAACCTATAGCGAGCCAAAACAACCCATAACCAGCCAAAGCCAGCCAAAACCAGCCAAAACCAGCCAAAACCTGCCAAAACTATTTTCAACTATTTTCGCGCCTCTTTCGTCCTGTGCACGGGGGCTGAGCGTGGAAAACCAAGAAAATGGAGGCGATGCTATCCACAGAGGTTAAATAAATGATTTCATATATGGTCATCCCTTGGGGTAAAATGGTGGACAAAATGGTTCAGAAAACAAACCTTTACTTTCAATCACTTGTTGCTAACCCTTGGTTTTTTTTCTCAAACAGGATTACTGCTATCGCTACAGATGCGCAGCAAGAAGCAATAATTCACCAGACAGCAGCGCTTCTAATCTTGGCTTTCGATGTGCCAAAGATGCAACACCGTAAAGACAACACAATTGACATTACAATGCAAAAAGGAGATTCTGGCGAAGAAATGTCTTAAAAACTTCGATTTTGAGAATCTGGATCACATTTTTCCTACAAGCCATTTCTTTGCAAGGCCAACCTTTTTTATAATGCAATATAGTGGGGATCTTGGCGACTTTTAAAAGCTATGGCCCACTGCTGCAATCTCCTTTAGCAATCAAAATTCAAGAGTTCTGTTGAACGCATTCTGGCAATAACAGTGGCAAATATGATAACAGCAACCTTTATTGACTAACCTACTGCCCCTGGTAATTAGTGTGGTAGACGCATAGGAACTTAAACACATATTTCACCAAGGTTCCCTTTGGGTAAAATTAATGGGGTTCCTTTACTTTTTAAAGTGAATTCAACTCTATTCGTTATGCCAATGCTACAATAACACCACAATACATTAATTTTATTTTAATTTAGCAGCAAGGTCATGAGCAGGTAACATCGTTTATATTCGCAAAAATCTAGAAGTTTTCACTGTTCAAGATGGGTGTATGGTATGGGGATATATTCATTCTTAAAAAAACACACTTATTAAGAACACTGAAACCTTACGACATGAACATGAAAAGTTAGAAGAAGAAATAACAATGTGTGTTTGAAAAGTTACTTGATGTTAGCAAAACAGAACATATTTTATCGGCTAATCAACTGTGCTACTAGGATAGTAATGCAAAATTGTTGTTTAATAATCTTAGGAAGAATTGATAGTTGTAGAAAACACAGTTTCGAAATAAGGGTAACATTAAGAACACTTGAGCCTTGAATTATCCAAAATTTAGAACGTCGATCCTCGGCATAAAGTTACCGTGCCTTCTTGTAAACAGAAAATTTAAATCAATTTTTACCTGGTGGTGCTTTCTTTCTTTTGACCATTATTCCTTCCTTCCTATCTGGATGTCATGCCCGTAGCTAAGGCGTGGCAATGCCACCCCCTGGAGCAAGAGAGTACCGGCTGATTGCCACCCCAAGAATTTTGTCTCTACGTTATTTTAATGGGGTTTTTCGCTGTTTGTATTGTATTGCCATGAAAATTTGGGCCAAGCTAATGCTGGAGGAAGGAAAATTGTTTGTTGGGATCTCTTATTAGTCACGTAAGATTGTGCCTGGCGCTCAAAAAAACTTTCACTGCCAAGCAAAAATTTGGCGCTACTTGGTCGCTTCGCCTGGAACACGGTGGTAAGGGCTTCTCTAAATCTTAAAAAAAATATGAATAACAGTTTTGGGACATTATACTGTAGACACGCGCTGGCTTAATCAGTAGTTGGCAAAATAGGAGTGTTATGTTCTGGTCTGTTGGAAAACGCGTATTTCTTTATTTAGCCTACGGATTTATTGAACATTCTGGTCTGGTATTTTTTCACACTTGTTTCATCTGCAAAAGAATGGTGCATTCCCAAGTTGTACTTCGACTCTCCTCTTGTTGCACAATGATAAAAAATCTGGTGTAAATACACAGTTGACGCACGTTGCACTTATTAGAAGTGGCAAGGGGGCTACCAAAGGCAGAGCAAAGAGGTGCTGCATTGTGTTAATAGAAAGCCCGTAACTCCGTGATTCCAATGGGTAAGAAAGTGCTGTTTCTACCACAGAATGTGCTGTAAAAATAACAATCTACATTCATTGATGCTATCCTGGTGTGTGGACTGGATTCTGGTTGCACGTCGCAACTGGTCAATCAAACTGTGAAAAACATTAAGACACCCCACTGCAGACATTAACAAATAGATCGTAAACGCTGTAGGGCTTTACCAATGAATTACCAAAAAAGTGATTCGCAAAGAGTTGACTTCTCGAGGACTGTGAGATAAATGTGAGACATAAATGTGAGATAAATAGTTTGACGAACGCGAGTTAAAGCGAAAGAAATCACCTCGTTGTCTTAAGAAATAACCATAACATTATAGAACATCGTACAGCAAGCAAGCAATTAAAATACGATCACAAATCCATTCGGCTTAACTTCGACAGATATATTTCTCAAATTAGAGTTATTCCTTCTACGTATGTGTGTTAATATACGACTGTTTGCAGTAGTTTCAAGATACAACTGTTCTCAAGATTCTAGGTAAAAAATTCTGATATGTCCACACCTACTGACAATGTAGCCTCGCTGTCAGTATTCGCTCACAAGACAACATCCAGTGTGGTCATATCGGAACAAGTCAGTCTGAGATGGCCTAAGCAGTTTAGGAAGAAAATCACTACTAGGTGATTTGAAATTTTAAAGAGGAAACACTCTTGAAGATTCTTTAAAAAGTAGTTTATTCAATACATAGATATCCCGCTGATTCTATTATTTATCCTTTCGAAGTTTCAAGATTAGAGCCTCAGAGAGTCGAAGAAAGTAAGATGGGGGCAAAGGAATTGCGAAAGAGAAAGAAAAGAAAGGAAATGAAAAGAGACACTCCCTTATAACCTAGTATCCAGGGTATAAATAGACATGTTTTTTATACCCTCCAAAACCATGAATAATTTTCTGAGCCGACAACTGAAGATTTTCTTTCGCATAAACTGGACAGATAGCATAAAGACATTTCCTGGCCTTAGTAAACAATTCCTTACAGATAAAAAAAAGTGCAGCTTTGAAATGCCGGGGCCTTGTACCGTAGACTCTCTTTAGAGAAAGGAGAGTGAGTATGGTAAAAAGCCATGCTTCTTTATTTCATAATTTCATAAACCATGCTTCTTTAAGAGAGATGTCACAAAACTTTATATTGGGTCATACATTAGTGCTATAACCTATCCATGGCTATTTTGAGATTCAGGTTAGATCAAGAGCAGACAAAAAAAGACTAATGTAAGAGGTTCTTAACCTCCTTTTCCGACATTAAAGAGAGGCAAAACATTAAGACATGAGAAATGGGATAATGCAGAAAAGATTGATTTCATGATTCGTGATTAACATCACTAAAGGAGTACACATTAAAAGGTTTTGTTAATTAAGTTGAGAAAACTTTGGTTTTTTATGGATAAAAGGAAAATACACATTTGCTCATTTGCTAAGGGAAAGATCTATGCAACATCCCCTCCTCAGTCCCTGTCTACCCTTGTGGTCTGAGAATGACGTCACTTTGTCTAAACTTGGTCGTGGTGTCATGAAGAATTAGTTCAGTAAAAAAGATTTATGGCATTTCCTTCACATGATAAGCAAATTAGTTGCTAAAATATATTGATAATTTAATTAGGGCATCTAACAATTTTACACTGCAACAAAAATGATCAATTCTAGTTTGGGTAATCAACGTATAAACTATAATTATATATAACATTTTGAAAAGAATGCAAACATGAAAACATCTTTGTGTAAGATTCACGTCTGAAAATCAACATTTAAATAACGTTTAAGGTTCATTGAAACCAAAAATGTCACAATTAAATCATTAAATGTATCGGAGTTATTCTCAAATTATTATAAAATATAAGTCTTTTGTATCACCAAAGATGGTGCTATATTTGGCTGATATTTCTTTCTAGTGCGTCATTATTAAACTAAAATGGTACTTTGTGGATGAAAGTACAAAAAAACAAATTTGAAAGAAAACGTTTCATGTCCCTCATTTTGTGAAGCGATTTGCACCTATTTACATAATACCCCCCCCCCCCCCCCGCCATCTCTCTTCGATGCCCCTTTTCCTTGCTCCAGATCTGTAGATTGGGGGTGTGGCTAGGTCTTGACTGGGAGCCGCCCACCAGCAGGCGAATATTTAAGCTTTCAATTACAGCTTTAAATAAAGCTAATTCAACACATGTCTTTTTAAAAAACACAACAGACAGGGAAAGGGACACGTAATGATTGAGTACCTGGACCTCTCAGATAAACTGTTCTAAACGATTGATAGAAGGGGCAAGAAAGCTGAGAAAAGACGTTTTAACTCTGTGTTCTTAGCTAATCCTTGAGTGGCCTTTTGCTCTTTATTTTTTCTAGAGCAAGAAATCTTGAACAAATCAAGGATTTTCAATATATCTAAAAATAAAAAAATTCATTTTCGGGTCAAATAATGACACAAAAATATTACCCTGGGACAATCAGAAAAAAGGAAACCAGATACCAAGTGCCCGAAGATATTTAGAAAGAACCTATGTATATTTTTGTGTTTATTTAGAATCTTCCTTATGTGGTTTGGAATTTCGCGAAAAGGATGATAGTTCAAGCTGCAACCTAAGGTTACAAGTAACAAAATATAGTTGTAATTAGGACACATTTGCATAATTTAGCTATTAATGTAATATTCACAAGACGCAAAACATTAAAATTTAATATTAACAATTCATACACCATTTGCTAACAACAAAATGTTAATCAAAAAAACTCAAGTCAAAAATCAAAATTAAAAAAACATATAACAGTATAGTATCATCTGATTAAAGCTTTCAAAATGCCTTTACTATTTTACAGTAATGATTCTTGATATACTCCCATCTAGCTGCAGGGGACGATTGCCCCTTCAACTCCAGTAAATTTCCGTAGTTTTCAACAATATGATATTTTCCTACCCTTATGTAAGCAAAGGCTTGCCTCACAGCTAATTTTCCTTCGAAAAGGCTATGTGTACCTTTGCTAAACGAAAAAAAGCTCCGATTAAAAATTATCTTATGAAAGAAGGCTGATGACGTATATTTATGAAAATCTAGCAACTTTCGGGTTCATGTCAAACCTCGAACTTTTAAACAATCATTCGAATTGCAAAACGTACATATTAGACACGCTGTCTTTGCAAGGAGTCTAACCACTATATATTTGGAGTACAGATAGATATACTGCTCTGCAGAAAACTTGCAGATTGCATTCAATGTTTAAAACATCCAGTTAGGAATTATAAAACACAGTTTAAATACCTTTATGATAAAGGTCTTTCAGGGTAAAGCTCTTCTAGGCGTGAATACATCAGTTTTACTGAAATGTCTTGCATGCTTGGCAACACAAATAATTTCTGTAAACACAAATACATTTATTCATTACAAAGAAACATTAAATAGACATCAGTAAAAGTATTTACATGCATCTTATGCTGATCTATGCATCTAAACATAAATATATAAAGTTATAGCATACAAATCTTCTCGTAATAATAAGGATGGAATATTCTAAGCTAGGAAGTCTATATACCCAATGATAGATCGAAATCAGCCAATCAGAAAACACGAGCATGGCACATCATGATTTCTATTGGTTTATTTCGATCAACAACTTGGTAAATATCCTTCCTAGCTTAAAATTACTGTAAATGCTCTGAAGAGTATAAGACGACAATACAGCTTGTCTCCACTGCAAACAATCCATTTTGATTCATAACTATCTGTATAAAGTGCAAAGGCTAATTTCACTAAGAAAGCACAAGAAAATGTTTTTGTGCATAATATTTGTCACTCTTACCCCCATTTCAGTGTATGATACTAATTAAGGACCAAAAATGACAAAATAATCCGGGTAAAAATATTCCAGCAGAAAATGTCTCTCGTTCCTTGCTTTGTATCCCATGAAAAACTTACGATCTACATATCAAGTACTGCAAAAACTTTAGTTTGCACCAAAAAACGATATATTAAATGCATTTTAAGATCTATTTTCCTTCATAACTTCTTCTGAGTTAAGTACAGATACTAATGACAAAGATGTGAACTGATCAAAAAAAACATAGCAATGGAGCCTTGGCTGATATATGTTGGCGAAAGAATGGCACATTTATTGAACCAATTCGTTGACAAGGCAAAGTACGTGATACTGTATACACAAACCTTGAATTCATCTTTAAGCTTTCTCTCAATCCAGTCTGTTAAATATGTTAAACGCACATGACGATCTCCCAATTTTGGATGGGCAGTAAGTAGAACAGCTGGGGTGCCACGGAAACCAAACCTAGAAGACAAGGCATTACCACATCACATCACATACCATGATATCCAACCAAAATTGTTCTCAAAATCTTGCTTGGCTGCACAGATACTGTTCTTAAGTTTGGAATAAAGGGTCTGAAACAGAACAGGGGGTTCAGGATAAATGAGGTGGGTGGAAAATGAACTAAATTTTGATAAACGGAGGCAAAAAGTCAAGAAAAAACGGGGATGATGGAGAATTTTCAAAATAATCATACACGGAGTGGATGTGTAGCAGTCCCTTTGAATTGGAAACAGAAGGTATAAACATAGGATGCTAGTTTCTTAAATCTTTGGGTGAAAAAGAATTCAAAACAAAACAATACAATAGAAATAATCAGTTCTTAGTAACACTTTCTCGATTTTTTTTGTACACGACACTCGAAAATAATAACCAATAACAAATGGAATAATGATGTTCTGTGTTTATATTTTTTAAAAATACAAATCAGCGGGGTGAGACGTTTTTTCCTGATTCGAGAGTTGATTGGCTGAATATTGCAGTTTAAATTATCAGGTTAAAGAAGGGGAAAGTGGTACAGTGTTAAAGGGCTTGACAATAGTGCCGTAAAATGCGATTCTGAACCAGTTTCGACCCCCCGACTGGGACACACGCTTACTGACTATCCAGCAGTACGTGGGTCCTTGGTAGTGTTATGTTGTTAAAAAGGGCCTAATCATGTGCGCACATCTAATACGTTTGACTCCATGGCCTCGTGCTCTGCAACTAACTCTAAGTACCGTTACGTCATAATATGTTAATTTATTCAAAACATTACAGGTAGCCACAGTGAATTTTCGGGGTACTGGGAAATAAACTTGCTATTCTTGGCACACCAAGTGTCTTCCCAACGCTATTTCTAGTTCTAGTTCATTGTCAAAAAGGGAACAATTGTACAATTTGTGTTGTACAATTTCAGCCAAATCAAGGTTATTTCTTTTATCGTGCAGCGGATAGTAAAATAAATTTTTACTTAAACGATCACACTGTAAGGCAAGCAATCACACCTGCAGAGAATCTACATCTTTCTTAATCAAATAAAGGCTGTTTTAAAAATATTTAAAAATTCATGCTAAAATCTAAAAGAAAGCAAAAAATGTTTAGCGAAAGGATTATATTATTTAGAACAAATTAAATTTCAAGCTCAAGATTCGACTACTCGTCGCTCTAATTTCCTGTGGTTTAATTTCGAACTAAATTGGGAGGCAAATTTTCAACGGAAACTTTTAGCTGGTAGTAATAAGGGAAATTAAAGGGCATGAGAATACGCACAATTGAGGCTGCAAATTTCGCGGATCCACAATTAAGGCCGCTACTATTGGGGACCGGCCACCTATCTAACATACTTAATCATATGTTTCTTTTTACATATTTCGAATGCAAAGTTTTTGTCTCTAATTGCATGGCCAGTGTATCTTAGCTTACCCGTTACCTTTGCTTGCAAACTTACTGCAATGGATAGCGCGGGCTGTAAGGGCCCTCAATTTCTATTTCCTTGCTATATTCAGTCGGCATTTGTTACCTGCTGGCGCGTTCAAGCAACTTTACATTGCCACTGTTGGCAGAAACCTCGCAATAAATTATCCGTTATCCACTGTGAACATTCAAACAAAATCAAACGATGATTACACATAAATTCAGTCCCTTTTCTTGAACAACAATCGCCTCCTTTTCCTTCTATTAAACTAATGATATTTTTAGTTTCGTTCCCGTGCCCATTCAGGAAAGAGATTTTTTGAGTATAGTTCAAAACAGTTTCTTGCTAGTTTTGCAAACCTTCTGATATTTTCATTCTAAAAGAACTTGAACAGACGAACAATGTTTAGGGAGGAATAGAAATTCGATATCTTCAAATTAATGAAAGACTTTGGGTTCAATGTCACCTCTCTTTGAAAGGGACTGTCAAATATACACAAATTGTTTCATGTTTAACAAGAAATTTTTTCTGTAGTGACTCGCCACATATAAACATCTTTTGAAGATTCACAAAGTGACACTGGAAAGTAAAATCCGCAACACTATGGCAGGGACCTTGGAACCTGGGGTACCAGGGCCATGCACCTTTAACCTGCCGGAAAATGCCCCTTTTCTAAGCAGTTCTCTTTTCCTATCATTGCCCCCTCCTACCGGTGCCCCCTCCTACCGGTGCCCCCTCCTACCAGTGCTCCTTCCTACTCTACTCGTGTACCTCGAGATCCCACATGCCCCCGACCTCTCTGAAAGTATAACTTTAGGTGCATGGAACTGCATTACCATACTTAGCAAAAAATTACTCACCATAACCTATTTGTGGGTGGCGGTGAAATATTAACAGCCAGTGTCCCCTTCAGGCTCTGCACAGTAACTTTTAGAATAATAGGCATTTTCCTGAACTTCTCGTACGCTTTCTCGTAAGCCTTTTTAGCAAAGTCAGTTTCAGCTACCCTCTTCGCGATTTTTGATCTGGCCAGCCAACCAACAATGCCTGCGACCCGTTTTCCTGTTTTGCTTTCTAAGAATGCTTTTGTCCTTGGATCCGAAATCATCGGGTCATCTGCAAGCGCCGCACCAAGATCCACTTCGTCTACTTCTACATTATCAATTGCCTCTAAAATCATCTCTGGTAGCTGCTCTTGCAAAACTGAATCCCCGTCGAAATCTGTACTATCCCCTTCAGTAACAACACCGTTGTCTGTCAGCTCCCCACTATTCTTTTCGCGCGTAACCTTCATTTTAACATCCGCATGCGCGCTTTCCTGAGCCTGGGTTTGTTGCTTCACAATCTTGGTAAGCAAAGCGACGTAATAATCAACATTCAACTGTGTCTCAAGGGTTAGCGTGAACTCCCCTTGGTAAGTAACCTGTAGGTCAGTCCACACTCCGTACTCGTCTAACTCGGGCAGCGATCCTTTGTGAATCACAGGCAGCGTATGGCCTAGGTGCAAATCTTTCACGTATATTTCCTTTATGATCGGAGGCGTGTTCAGTTTATTCAGACGACTTTGAATTTTGACCCAGACTTTTCGCTTCCAGTATGGCTCGTGCCATACATCCCAAAATGCGCGTCCTAAAAGTACATTCAGCCATGCAGAATGCGGCTCTAATCTTTTCCCGTTTACGACACGTGTTGTAATCTTTTCACTCTCGCGGATACATTCTACCATATAATGCGGATAAGAATCTGCCGGGCGACTAGATAGGTTCCCTTTCTTCACGTCGCTTAGCGTTATTTGATGTTTTAATGGTTTATTGCACAGCTGCATACGGTAATACCAATCCTCTTTCTCGCGCGCGGTATTAGGGAATACGTGAAACTGTTCGTCGGTTGTACTTGCTGTCCAATCATCAGCAGAGCAATCAAAATACTCTTCGAAATTTGAAGTAAGCTCCTCGAACGGAATGTCGATGTCTCTAATGTGCATTGCGCCGGGCGGAATGTCGATTCTAATAGGATATTTTCGATTCCAGATCCGCCTCATTGGCAAATCTAGCGGTTGCAGCGATAACCGACACTTAGATAACGAGATCTTGTGCTCCTTTTCGAACACAAACGCGGGCTGTTGATTTTCCACAAGTTCTTGCTTTCTGTTTCGGCGCGTGCGTAATCCGCGCTTAACTTTCTTCAGCTTCTGCGGTGTCACTGGTTTGTTTTCGACCTGCGGCTTGCAAAATAAGATAAACAAAGTCTCGCCTTTCAAAACTGCAAAGACGTCTTTCGTTATGTCCAGGGTGAAAACTCGAGGGTCGTAGTCCAGCAAAAAATGAACCCATCCCTAAGAATTGAGAAAAACAGCAATATAATTTGAAATTATCTTAGAGATAAATTTCACCTGAAACCTGAAAATCTCAACTTATACAGGAAAAAATTGCACGAACTGGCCACTACCAGAATCTGAAATGACGATTGGGTTTTAACGGGAAGATTTTCACGGCAATGGAGGACTTAAAAACCACTCCCAAGCAGCTCAATTGTGATAAAAATTATACTGAAGATGAAAGTAACCATGTCTGTTGCACAAAGCTACCTGCCATACTACTAATGACGATTGTTATAATGTACTTATTTACTGTACTGACATGCCCTTTATTATAATGGACTCATATACGCGCCTGTAACCGTTTACTTAGTTTTGGATTGAATTGAATTATAAGTTAGTTGTTTATGTGTTCTGTTACAGTTGAGTCGAAAGTATAAAGAGATTCATTTATTTTGCATCCTCCTGCAGTAATCTATTACAACGATTAAGTACAGTAAAACCAAAAGCAAACCAACATTTTCATCTTTCATAAATCAATGTGCTACAGAAGGCAGGAAAAAGCTTGTCCTTCAGTAATGACTTATTACAAGCTCGAGCCAATCTTGACCGTTTGATATGGATTATCTAACATGCAGTTCTGCTAAATTGTCTGTCAATAAAAAATGACAGCACAAATTTATAACTGTCGTGTTCTGCACACTAAAGCATAACTAAATTTTCCCTATGTATTTTCTTGTGGTTTATTAATCTAGAGTTGTAGCTAAGGGGAGAAATGTTCTGTTTGCAGGTTGCTAGCCTTTTGAACCCTTAAATTCAATTTTATTTGCTTGAAAAGCTAGATAGAACAATGACTTTGAGGAATAATCAGGACCAGATGTCATGATTCCCTCCCATTGTGGGTAAGCCTTATTAAGTTGGAAAAGCTGGTTGCCACGTTTCATAACAAAGTGCTATGAGCTTTGTAAGGAGACATACGGTTTGGCGAATTTATCATATGTTTTGACAAGGTTCTTTCCTATGCAGCGCAACAAGCACCTGCTTTTTCCATATACAGGTCGAAACAACTTGCCTAAAATTGGTTGCCTTCCAGTTTTTAAAATATTTTGACTCTTAAAAAGGAAAAAGGAGGCCAAAAATACACATTTACATACAGGGGCGGATTTAATCAACAACGATTGGGGGGTGTTAGACACTAATTTTGGTGCCATACCCTTCAGGTCACTGGTAAATGATGGGAACGCCCATTAAAATTTGGTTTTCAACTTTAAGGTGAAGATGATAAAAAGCAGTGGCGTAGCCAGGGTTTGAAGACCGATGGGGCAAAAAGGAGAAAATGTTTGCTGACCAGACCCCTTAGAATTTGGGAAACACCCATCTTAGAAATGCGTTTGGAAAAGCTATGGCATTTTTACGTGGCAATTTCCCTTTAAACAATGTCATATGTGGCGTTTTGTGGCTGACCATATTCTACAACTGTCTATTTCCTTCACCATTCCACTAACGTTTATATCCTGAATTGTGTAAGGCGAGGAAGAACTACGTGTAAAAGGTGATTTTCCAAAGTTGTTATCAAATATCTAAAAGAAAGAAAACAGTATTCAAAAGTTTTAAACCAAGTCCGTTCTCCTTGGAGCAATATCCACGAGAAGCATTTCAGTATCCAGTTTTTTAAGGATTGGATTGCTTTAGCATTATAGTTTCTATTTTATCAGGAATGTCTCAAGGATGTGAAGGACTTTTCTATACAAATCCCAAAACGAGGGGAAAGTGTTGAACATTCTGTAGAGATATAGAGGAGGATCTTCTGCGAGTTACTCGAGCATAAGGAGGGTCTCCTGCGAGTTACTCGAGCATAGAGGAGGGTCTCCTGCGAGTGACTCGAGCATTTTAAGACTATGCCCTTGAAATTAGTTTAAAATACATTTCAGAATATTCTTTCCCCCCCCCCCCCGCTATGCTACTGACAAGAATATAGATGCTGATAGGAAAAAAATACAGTAAAATCTTGGCGTTGCTTTGTTACTACTGACTACCAACGACTGACTGATGTGAATAAAACCAATTTGCTTTGAAAAAGTATAGATGACAGCAAAAATTAGCTCTGAAATTCGAATGCCTTTCCCTACAGACAGTACACTTCATGCTCTCAGAAGGAAAAACAGCTAAAGAGCTTTCACTTTGGTTTGTTTAATTTCATTTCTTGAATTCACAACAACGCGAAAACACATCACAGGAAAACAGTGGAGTTTACACAGACATATAAATTGCCTTGTTGCAGGTGGCAGCATAAGCAAGAGTCTGTAAACATGTTTTTTTACATTTTGTTTGTCTACCTGGTGATTTGTTTGTTAAATTGGTGGCATATTTGCTTGTGTGAACATTTTATGATCTAATTAAAAGTCATCATTATTACAAAAAAGTAATTAACAAATGAATTAAAATCTTTTCAGAAAAATTTGCGTCTACCTTAGTTTTCTTTAAGTTTTCATTAAGGAGACATCCTGTTTTCAATATATTTCATTTTGTTTATATTCATCACTTTCTTGTTTACCTGCTCAATAGTCTGCATTTATTCAGCTTTTTATATCTTAACCAGCAAAATATATTTTCTCCCATACATAGCTGTCCTTAATGAATGGAAAGAGTAAAAAAAGACATAAAATGTTATATTTGCAAAAACTTGAACACTTGATAATAACTACCAAACTAAAACTAAAAAACATAACATAAAACTTTTCATTATAACTTGAAATTAAGGTAACTTCTAGAAGGAAAAAAAAGCTAATTTTAAAATGATGTGTATAGCTTAGCCTTTTATCAAATGAATTGATAACAGACCACAAACATCATTTTTTTAAATTTGCTCTTATTTTCCTCATATGTACAATTGTACCATAATTTCAAATTATATTGTCACATTATAATGTGCGACACACAAGCTAGTATATTTAATATAGAAATTTTAATGCTGCAAAAAGTCTATAAAATTTGCAAGTTTTGAATATAGGCTTCTAACTGAAAAAACTTAAAAATGAAATAGAAGGTAATTCATTTTCAGAAAGTGTTGCCATCCCTCATCATTTTTTTAGCTATGGTCATAAGATGCTAACAGAGAGTAAAAATTCATTTATGGAAATAAAGAAATTTGGAAATTGAAAATGAATAAATATGGAAAAAAATGTTACCTTGATATCCCTTGGTTTTCTTAAATTATCAGGATCCACAGTTCGAATTGGCTTCTTTTCTGAAGAAGAAATGTCTTGCTCTCTCAGATATTTCTTAAGCTCTTGTTTGTATTGCTCAAATGACTTTCCTGATGGGCAAAACAACCAAATAACCAGACAACCAACAAGATACATTATTAGTGACCCAAAAACAAAACCACTTATGAATGTGTTCAATGGGATGATGTAAAATGCATATAAAATGACAGCAAGACTCCATAACCAGAAGAAAGAGAGTCCAGCATGCTGCTTATTGGTAGAGTGGGTTGGGCTACTATTTTCTGGAAGAGAAAACTGAGCATTCTCATCATCATCATCATCTGATACTGGGCTTTCAAACCTGCTCAGCACTGGTGATGTTGAAAGACTATCTGCATTTTGCAGGTCATTCTGTCGTGGCCCTTGAGCACCATGCTCCTGGGAATGCAGAAGCTCTGAAAAAGATAGTTTGCTGGCAAATTTAAACTTTCGTTTGGTCTGAGTTTGAGCTGCACTGTTATTTCCATGTTTTTCGTCTTTGATGTGTTGAGAGATTGGGATATGTGTAAGGTCTGTTGTTATAGGCCTTGGGGTCAAAAATCCTTTTAATTTTGACTTTGCTGAATTCTTTTTTGCTGAACCACTTGTGTTTTGGGGTATCGTTTGTGGAGATGCTGGCCTGTCTTCTGATGGCAGAGCACTTTGACACTCATCTTTACTAAAAGCAACAATCATCTGTCTAGTAATACTTTTATTTATGCTTTCATGAATGTCGACAAATTTTTCCTTTTCCACATCAGATGTTTCATTAACATTACCATCATTAGGTTCAAATCCAAAAGTTACAGCACCCTGGCCACTGCATTCTTCCTCAACATTTTCATCTCCTTCTGTTTTCTGTTTCAAAGTATAATGCTCACTAATATTCTGTGATAATGACCCAGTTTTTGGCTTAGGACTCTGCCTTTCTAGAGGCTTGCTTCCAGAATCATCTACATTAGCAGATGCATCAGCAGTTACAGAACTACTTGCATAAGTTTTCCCTTTTGATATCAAACTGGATACCTGGTCTCTTATCCAGCCTGATGCTCTTGGTTGCTTTTTATCCTTGCCCCCATCTTTTATTTCCACAGTTGGTGCATCGACTATTTGCATTTCTTTCGTGTTAGACGAACAAGTACCAACCTCTTCAGCATTTGATTTACCGCTATTCAATTTTGCATCATTTTCTAAGTGCATTCCAGCATCGTCTTCCACAAGCTTTGTTTCGTCATCTGCTTTCTTAATTTCTGACTTTTCTGCCTCTTCTTGCTTGCCTTTCCGTCCCCAAAAATTACTAACTTTGTCCTTCATCCAGTTGGTCTTCGATGATATTTCGGGGACTTTCGCACCAGCCTTCAAAGTGTTTTTCAAGCAGTCCATGTTCTTCTTGCCATCTAAACCATCGAGATTCTCCACACTGCTATCTTGGTTTTCCGACTGCAAAACAGCCGCCTGACTTTCAACTGCATCTTCGAGTGAGCTTTCAAATTCGTAACCAAGATCTTCGTCGCTTGATTTCGTAAAGGAAGCGGCCAGAGTTTTTGATTTGAATTCCATAGAAAGGCCTGATCTCTTCCACGGTGGCTTTTGCCTATCACCTGCGCCTTTTTTATTGTTTCGCTCCATATGGACATCTTTACATTGTTTCACCAATGAGATTGAAGATATTATTTATAGAAGGGCTGAACATTTCCCTCATATCGCTAGTCATTAGTTTCGTGGTCAGGAAATCTAAACTCTTGTCTTGTACTTTATTCATTATTTCATAGCGCCTTTAAACTTTTACCATTACCACGAGCTGCTTTTCAAAGAAAAAATAGTCTGGATTATTTCAGAATAGTTCACCAGGCACCATAAATATAAGCAATTCTCTCGACGTCCAGTGTACGTCCAACTTAGTTTCTCTTCCTCACGTTTGTTATGGCCTAGACGCGGACCTTCCTGTTTACTGCGTGGCTCCTTCACAACCACAATATTGCGTCACACCTCGCAAACATAACGGTACAGTAAACGCCAATAAACGTTAGGCCTAAAATTACATTATTTGTGGGTTGTAAGTCGGACAATTTACTAAAACTTAAATCGAACCATATTTCAAGTTTAATTCGTAGATAAGTGGATTTGCAGATGACAAGAATACACTCAAATGGTCACCGAAACCGATATTAGTAAACATGCAAACCAACACCTTTCATCCAAGATAGAATACGCAATATATAATATTCATTTTTGAGTCGTTTGTAAGGCAAAAAGCTAAATAATTCTAAGACCCCGTTTACACTGTCCCGGGACAATTTTGTACCGTTACGGTTCGCAAGTGTTTACACTGTCGCGGTTCCAAATTGTTTCGTTTAGCCGTTCCGTTTACACTGTACCGGTACAGTGTAATGGCTTCAGAATTTAATGGCAGAACATTGTTTAGAAGAAGCTGTATTTAGTCAACCAAGGCTTTTATTTTGCCGCCGAAGTCAACAATCGAATTTTTATTGGAGTTAAAATGCAGTGAAAGGCCGATAAAAACTTTACTTGGACGAACGACAAGGTGGCTTTAATTTTCAGTGTTATTTTAGACTACAAAACTGCAAAGTCCAATCAAGGCTTGGACTGGGAAACAATACAAGCCTTTTCTGTGGTTGTCTTTTCTTCAGAATTTCCTTTTCTTCAGAATTTGACAACGTAGTTACGCCACAATCAAAGCCTCGATTACCTGAAACAGCCATACAAAAGACCTCTTTGTGAATCCGTGACAAAATCGTCTCGGATAGGTGTTTACACTGTCCCGTTCAAAAACGGAACCGTGACGGTACAAAATTCGTTCGCTTTCAAAGCAGGGTCCAAACTGTTCCGGATAGCAGAGCAAAATCGTCACGGTTCCACAGTGCTAGTGTAAACGGAAGGGCGAACCGCGACAGTTTTGTCACGGTTCCAAACTTGCACGGGACAGTGTAAACGGGGTCTAACAAACTACAGGTTCATCTTTTGATCCTTGAATTAAAACAAGTTTTGGTGGAGGTCTCTGTACTTTAGGCTAGGGAAAAGATTTTCTTCCTTTAACATAGAAATTGAGTGTCCTTACAAATTGCATTCTTAATTATTTATGTCCTCAAACAGAGAATAAGACAATGTGATTGTACCAAAAGCACTTAAAATTTTCTATCCTATACAACAGGTAGAATAAAACTTTATTTCAAGATAATTCATTCTGCGAGTCTTAAATACATTTTAAACATCAGCATCTGATCTGCAACTACGTGATCTCCTTTCAGTAAATTCTAACAAAACGGTATGACAGAAAATCTCGCATTTCAATTCTGCATTAAGATATAATTAGTAAATTTTTATTCAACTTTAGTAAGCAGAGTCAGCAGCACTTCTTCAGCTAACTGCTCTGAAACCTGATAGTTTTCCAAAAGGAAGCCAAAAAGTCTGCAAACGAAGTAGAAACAGAAAAAAAGGACTGAATGGATGCGCCTTATGGGGGGGCAGCTAAACTTTTGACGAATGCAGCTGAGATGGAGAATTTAGACATAAAGCTTGATTTCCACGAGTCGAATTTGTTCGCTACGATTTTTTTGGCTGCGAACTTTTTTCTTAAATTCGAAGGTCAATTTACAATGACAGAAATTTTTTCGCGAATTCATTGCAAATGATAAAACAGAAAATGGCGACCGTTCGAAGAGGGCTGTTATTAGAAAACCTGAAAATTTAAAATCAATTTGAATTTTTTTGGGAGTCTTCATTCATGCCAGTGCATTTGATATAGCACTGCAGCACATGCTTTTCGTGTAGGGATTTGTTTTTTTCTTCTTGTTAATTCATAGAGTTGCGTAATTAATGTTTGTGTAGGTATCCGTAGTAGACTTGGTTAACGGCGTTTTGGGCTGACTCAGGCTAATCATGGGCTGACTCAAGCTATTCATCGGTAACAATGAGCCATTGCGCTACGCAAGCATCCCATAATGCATTTTTATTGTTTGGATCGTCGCCACGCTCGCAAAGGCCCATTGTTAGCAATGGGTCTGTTAACGACATTTATTAATCCGTAAATGCATTTTAAAGATATTCATAAAAAATCTTTGACGTAAAATTTTTATCTTGTTTTTCTAAATGCTGATTGGTAGACATATTTAGTTCGTGTAGATTAAAAGTATATAAAACGTCCGATTGTAAAGTAAGAAGCGACTGTAAAAGGCGATAGAGAGATAAATAATCAGTACCGAGGTGTACAATGAAGAAGGATTGGATACAACTGTTGTGTTTCCTTTAGTGTTCTCTTGGCACTTTAACATTAAATCTCTGAACCAGCAGATAGTGCTGGTGTTGGTACACTAGATAATTTCTACAAAATTCAAATTTTTGAAAAAAAGCCTGCTATGATTCCAATTACATGGATTGTGTGAGTGGAACAGGAAATGGATAATTACCAAACCAATTTCATTGACGTCGTATGGGTTAGAGTGTTTGAGAAAAATAATGCCGAATGACGTAGGCCATCAGGAACCAAAACCAAAGTCAGCTGATTTCAAATGCTGTTCTGATTGGTTATTCTACAATTCGCAAAGTTTTGCAGCAAAAAAAGAAGGAATAGTTTCTACTTCTTTCAAAACGAATTATTTGCTACAAATCCCCAGATAATTGTCTAGTCGCTGCTGCCGCGCATTTGCAGAGAAAAATTCGCATCACACGAAAGAGTTCGTCTCGTGTATGTTTCATAAGAAGTAACACTTTGATAAGGTTTTATAAGGGGTCATTCTAACAAAAGTTTAAAACACCACAAACTCAAGGAAATGTTTTTAGGTTTTCTAACTCTACTGTTGAGAATGTGAAATACAGAAAGAGACAAACATGTTCCAACTATATACAACAAAACATCACGATACATATTTCCTAAACAATCCCACAATAATGTATTGATATCATATCAAATAACAGCTGAGTAATGAACTCCGAGCTCGGAACGACCAAGAGGCAAGGGGGCAGGCCAGGCACAGCGCAGCCATTGCGCTAGCAGGGGCTACAGCCCTCCCCCTTACTTTTTGCAAGATAGGCTAGAAATTTTTTGAAAGTTTTACATCTTGCTCTAATGCAACTTTGGATAGTTTACTCCTATATGGTAGCAGTTCTTCTTGACTGGAAACCTTTTTAGTTCATTTTCTAGGTGTTTTATCTTGTTTAATGATATGATATATTTTCTAACTTGGTTAGCTTTGTTACCCTCAAGCTAACTTCATCTACATGCTTTTTTTAAAAGAAAGTTTCTTTCAGCCCAGCCCTCAGACTGTCTTAGCTATTTCCTATTATATTTCCTAACTTCTGCACTAAAACTTTCTTAACACTTTCTTAGCGTAAAATTGGAAAGTTTTCCGTTACTAAGTATGCGCAGTGATGGAGAAGTGTCACAAACCCAGAGAGTAAAACACCAAAAAAAAGGCTGTGTTTATAACTCAGACACTTTAATACAAATAAAACATACGAAGCATACTAGGCCCTAACCTAACCTAAAGCCTTACGACGAGTGACAGAGTTTCGTTCAAATAGCTTCTCTTGTCTCCATCCAACTGACTCTACTTAAGCTACAACTTGTATATATGTACGAATGGAATCTAAAATTAGCAATACACGATAATTATGGTAACTAACCGATAACAAGTAAAAGGAAGGGCTAGGTTAAATGATGCCATGACCGCAAATGGTAAAGCAACAACATAGGGACGAGAATGAGTGACCTATGACTAGGCCTAAGCAATGCTGGGAAAATCCCGCACCTGCAACATAAACAATGGAAAGGGGCGTCGCCAACATGAGACAATGCTATGACGCGAGACATATGACGTGCGAACGAGAGGTATGCCACAGCTAATGGTATGCAAAAAGGAACATAGAGAAAATCCTAACAATGAATGGGCTAAGGGGTATCTAACAAAATGGCCTAACTATACTTGAGAAAATTGTGACAGAAGATATAATGCTATAAATATGCTATGTTTCTCAAAAACCCTCAACGTCTTATCTCAGAAATCTCACTGAATAACTAAATGACCAAAAATATATCATATCCATGTGGTTTATTTTCTATTTAGTGAAACTTTCTGAAGGGAGACAATTTCTATAAAGACACTTCTTCGCATATTATGAATTTCCTGTTCTGCCAATTACTGTGTTGTTGAAATGTTTCATTTTACACCACAACTTCCTTTGAAACATTGAATATCTAAATTTTTTAACTTTCTTTTCTTTTTTATATCACAAATAAAAACAACTCAAAATTAACTACATATAAATATTGTGTGTCTGCCGTAGCCGGAAAAGACATGACGTCATCGAGCTCTCATGTCATGTCATGTCATGTTCAAACAACAACTTAACCGGGTGTCTTAGAAGGAACACATCCCCCCGTCCACATTATTGTTGTTAATCCAGACAAAGCTATTAGTGGAGCAAGGAAGTGGTTCCATACAAGACGCCCGGTACAAACAATACAAGGAAAAAAGGAAAATAAAAGAAAAATGCTGCTGCTGCTTTGCGATTGAATTCAACCTGAAAATCTTTTCGAATTTTTGATAAACAATATTGTTGCTTCAAGAATTATTCGATTAATAATGACATTATAATGAGAGTCGCCAAACAGAAGCAAGTCACACAAAGATTTATCATTAGATTTTTCAACTTTCTTAGGTTTCAAAGATCAAGCCCTGAACCGAGCACAACTTTCTTATAAAATACTTTGTTATAAAGAAAACGTGTATTTTTATTGTTATTGATATCTTCTACGAACCAGACTGTTCACAGAATGGAGTAGGAATAAGTAAGTATTTTCTAAACGGGGCATTTCCGGTGTTCTAGAGAGCGTTTCCTTGAAATAATTTTCGAGCATACCAATTTCAGCTCCTCCACTTTTAAACTGTTGCGCGGTCCCTGGGGCAGGCTCGAGTAAAAAGGAATTTGAAAAATAATTCCCAGATATCAACAACTCTTTCGTAACTGTCATTTTGCTGGAGTCTTTTGTAGGTATCTTAAAAATCGGTTAAATTTTGGCATAAGAAACTTCTTAACAAGTTTTGAAAAATGTCGTCATAAATAAGGCACTAATGTCAAGATTTCATATGAAACTCTTTAATTTCTTACAAAAGGCTGACGTCAAAAGCTTCTATGAAAAGGGCACATTAGCCCCCATGCTCCTCCTATCAAAAGGCAACA